AAGCTGTCTTTTGAGATTTTAAGGAGCTTCAAAAATGATATCAAAACCAATGCGAGTGTTAGTTCATATGGTAATAATAAGAACAAGTATATCCCTCTTATTGTTACAAGCCAGTACCTCTTGCATTTAAAAGAAACCATTTCTATCGATAAGCAGTTTCTCTTGGTTTATATCTGTTCGGGTAGTAAGTAGTCAATCCTCTAATAATGGGTCTCTACTGATTTCTCATTTTAAAGGTTTATTGGATAATGTTGTGGAGACTGGACTTGATTTCAGTCATTGATATAAGAATCAAGTTTGGGCATAAGTCAACGACAATTTAAACAAGTTCATCTGATTTAACATTTAAGATCTTTATCACATCGTAAAATCATATCAACTTTTGAACTAGGGAGCAATGGATAGCTGTTTTCCTTCAGCTTTGGACTTCTTAGCAAATTGTGTCCATGGCATCTCATGAACCAAATCTCCCACATTCACTGTGAGCGTGGACATGTAACTCAGCGGTTCGGATTTTTAACCAGTTGGTGTTACTGAATGACCCACTTTCCTGCTTCTAAATTGATTGATTCAGACAGTCCACTAGAACTATGGAGAACTCGTCCTGAAGGTAGTTACTCTCAGAACACGGGGTTACTACATATTATGAAATAGTTCAGTATTATTTTATTCAACACAGCCTCCTTGATATCTGTAATTATCGAAACTAAATTGAACATTATTTTCAAGTCTGTCTTTGGTTTTATTCCTGTGATATTTAATAAAGTCCCAAGATCTCACCAATAGTAAGTCTTAAACAGTCGATTATTCATATTATTAAAACTGCTTAATTAGAATTAAAATTATCAGAAGTCGGTTCGATAAAAATCCAATGATGGTTTTTAGGAGTGTGTTTACGTGAGTTGCTATCCACATGAATAAATTAAATCGTCTCAATTAACTGAAAAATTTTCAGACTATTCTAGATTTTGTCAGTCCTGCGTATGGGACTTATGTGTTTGATATTCCACAGGACCAATGAATTTACTGAAGATCTACGTACAGAGAAACTCTCACATCATTTACTGACCATCAACAATTCGTTCAATCAGGAAGACCTTTGCTACGATGAAATTGGTAAATGCATAATTAGAAGTACCTTTGGAAGAAAGAGTGGAGATCGTGATGCATGTGTCGAAAAAAATAGATAAATAAAAGAAGGCTAATCGTTTGACCATGTGTGAAAACTATCATATTTCGGTCAAGATTAGTTAAATTTTGAAAGCACTTAACAATACATTCCCATTTTATGGTACAGTTTTCAGTAATGTAAATAAACTTGGATAGACAAATAACTCTAAAAAGTGATTTCTGACTGTATTGATAAATTTACATCTACGCAGAAAATCAGTAACATTGAGAGAGTATAGATATGTATACTTTGTTATGTTTATTCTAAGGAATTTTGACAGAACCAGATGACATTGCCATTTCAGTCTAGCATTATCCGTAGGAAATTCTTATTCAGTCTTCAGATGGATTTTCTATGCTCACAGGTGATGGAAAATATACCTAGTGCCTACAGAAATTTCCCTAGCCGTTAATATTCAAGCCCCTTGGAAAAGCTCTTAAGTAATATACTTTTCCTACTTTGCATTGTATATTTATTTTATTCTCTGTCTTGTGCTAAATTCTTGTGTTCAACAACTGTAAATTTAGTTAACTACCATAGCTCTTCGTAAACGTTTTCATTTTAAATATCAGTCAGTCAGTTACAACCTAGAACTTGATACTTACGTGTATAAGCTCAAGTTGCCAAACCACACTAGCACAGTGCGATTCAGGCCAAGTTCCTGAATTGAAGAGGTAGTTACGCTACTAGTGGTAATGGAAAGATTAGGGGTCAAAGATATGATTCGAGAAGTATATTCCAGTGAAATAAATTTAAAAGAGGAAGATAAAGGCAATGAGGAATCAAGAAGATTAGAATTTAAGAGAAGACTAAGAATGGACGCATCTACGCCACTCTAAACGTCATTCAAAGTCTCTAACTGTCGGTTATTATTGTCTCGCGGACCCCAACCAGGCAGTCCACATCAGTCCGTTTGTAAGTGGCTTCATGGACTGTAGCCTACTACACCAGAAAATGTGTTTCATTCAGGTAGGTGGCGCTGATGTAAGCCAATCCTGAAGCAAAATTTCGCAGCTATAGATTTCGAATAAATTTAACTGTTTCCGTAGCCTAGTGTCTATAAACGTATACTTAGTGGTACAACTAGGAACTATTCTTAGAGAGCTAAAACTAATATAACACAAAGTTGCTAAAACAAAGTTTTTTTACTTTTAGTTCATTGATCGGTCAAGTTCATAAACTGAAACATTTCCATTTGGTACACCAAGTTTAGATGTAAGGATAGAGAGTAAAATCTATCTAGTTCATATCCTTTCATCAAAAAACTTGTTAACTAACATAAATTTGGGGTTCATTGAATCATATCCTATTCTTATTCAGGTGACAATACTCTATAGGAAGATCTTAAAACAGTTGGGACGAGTTTCAGTCAGAAAACAGCTTTTACAAATTGATAATTTATGAAAAAAACGTCAATAGTACCGAGAAATTAAAATAATAGATTCTACTCAATAAATAAGTCTATTAATTTTTTCTGCAGGTTGTTCTGTCTGTAAACCCAAAAAACAGGAACAATTGAACACGTCCTAATGGATTGAGTTTTCCATATTCTTGAACAATTTGAAGAAAATGGGACGTAAAAATCTTAGTAAATTATTTATATTTTCATTCGTCGTTTAATTTGTTGTTTATCTAGTCTCTCAGAGTTGTACAATATTCCACGACTGAAGTTCGGAAATTCAAATTCAGCGACACATCATATTATGCTAATTTATTATTTTTTTGTCAAGTCATTGTTATAAAAGGGGAAGTATCAAGACAGTTATAACTTTCAAAAGTCTTACAGATCTTTTTATGTACATATTAAATAACAGGAGTTATGTATTTCTGTATTCCGTGTTGTAAGCTTTCCTTGGAAGCATCGGCTGTAATTCTACATTTTACTGTTCCCTAACCACTAAGAATTAATTTGTTTCATTCTGTACTATTTGAGCCTTGATGGTGTATTAACGAAAATTCTCGATCCGCTGCCACTTTAAATATAAATTATTGTATAACATTCCATGTTACTAAGTAATAACTAGTAGCTTAAGTCTTATTGATTAAATTAAACGTTCCCGATGTTGCAAATAACAGATTTTTATATCGGTTTTGTTTAGCATCCACTAAGAAACCTGTGTCATGTTACAAAAATCGGTAGGAGTGCTGTAGTTTTGTTGAGAGAGTATTCATTAACTTATACAACCAATTCAGCAATTAGACAAATTGAATATTTTCTTTCTCCTGCTAAATGTTACTGTCACACTTAACATTGTTTCAGCAGAAAAGTGATACGAAATATCTAAAGATCAGACAGGCACCTGGCGAAAGATGAAGATGAGTCTCTACGGTATATTCTTCTAGAATAGCCAGAAGCTGAAAAGTATATCAGGATTATATAAGTTGCTCAAATATACCAATGAACGATTGTCACTACTTAAAATCTATCATTCAAATATGAATAATTCTAGGGATTTTTACTTTCAGTTATAATGTTAATTGCATCATGTTTTAAAACGTCACAGTATTTGAAAAATAGACTCTCCAGAGTCAAAAAAATTAGAATCTGCAGAGAGATAATTTTTTAGATGATAATGTTTCACTGATAAAAAGAGTTAATTTAAAGCATTTTTTATAGAGTTTCTAACCATTTTGGATTAATAAACTGCAGATCCTCAACAGTTATTTTACCTGTGATTTTTCTCAGTGCCGGTCTGCATCATCATATAAATACCAACTGGTGTACGGTCAAATTATCTTTGGTTGAGTGGTTGAGCGGAGTAGAATTATCCTTACTCATTATTAAAGTGAAGTTGGTTTGCTTTGAAATTATCATTTAGAGTACCATTGACAACCAGAAAGCACTGGAGTAAGTTTCCTTTTTAGTTTGAAGCTCCCCAAATGTTTACATGCCTGATACCACATAGCACTTAAACTCAGTATATTCAAGTTGCTAATAACGTATTTATTACTAATAGAAATATGCTTAAGCAGTATTTCATGATATTTTTCACAATAGTATCATCTTGGTTACTGATTTTCGAACAGTTAATAGCATCTGATTCGAACTCAAATGATCCTTCTAGAGGCTAAATTGGTTTAACCAGTCTGTCATGTATTATGTTATCTAATAACTGGCGCTCACAAAAATCCGACGAACAAGATACAAAATATGGCATGATATTTTTAGTATTTCAAACTTACCCTGTTGTTAAATACAGGCAAATTAAACCTAGGTCGTATGCTTTTAAATTCAGGACACTAGATGCATTCTACTAAACATAGTTTGTGTTAATAAAGGAGTCAACTGATGATTTGGGTTCCAGTACGGATCGTAAAAAGATATTGTTAAAAAGAAAAATGCAAAAGAAATAAAATCAAGTTATTTTATAATGATTTCTGAATAATTAATGTCTGTTTCTATTGTTTATTCACTAAAGTTGTGAAATTATTCTACATTTATTGGTTAACTTGGTAGTAGTGTAGTACTCAAAATATTCATAGATTAATCTATGATTTATTATAGGAATTAAAATCAAACAATTAACCTTTTATTAAGTAGTAAAAAGCACCGTATTTTAAACATCAATCAGCCAAGTGAAATTATGTCCAAAAGTTAGGTGTATTGTTTACAGAAATGCCAAACACACTTTCACGCTGCAAATACATCTTAAAATAATGAACAGCACAACCTCAGCCATGTTCGTTTACAGTTATAATATTCGGAATCTAGAATGTCTGACTAATGGTAGTAAACATGTCTATCCACTACCAAGGTTATTAACTTATCATCTGATTGGTTAATCTGTAAGTGCTACATTTCAAATAAAGTTCGTAACCACTCGTCATATTTTAAGATAATGGGGAAGTACAAACTGGACGCTTAGTTATCCCACAAACTATGATGAGGAATTGTGGATTAATACGACTTATTTCTACCTTCTTATTCTGTATCTTCATTTACAGTAAGTTCTATGGAAAATGACTTGTTTCAGTTCAAGTTACTCCAGTATTTTTTATATTAAATGACAGATTGTTTATTATCAAAACTGTTTTGATTATCCTAGTACAGTTGAGAAATTATGTCAAACATCTGGGATAACCGATATGATTTTAAGACATTAAGGGACTTAATTTGAATTCTTATTATAAATTTAGAGCCTTTATTTCAATATTTGATGAGAGTGAAATTAGGCATTTAATTTTTATTTAGTTAAAATTCATTTTATTCTACATTCAGTTCGTATAGATAAATCCAAAATTACTAAAATGTATGTCGCATATCGACTTTGAAATGGATATGAATGTAGCGAAAAATGAATGCATTGTACAAAGTTGAATGAATTGCCCAAACCTTATCATCTCTCTTGTAGGCTAGGTTTATATTTTTAAATAGTTATTTCAAATGGGTTCCAGAAAGTCTTATAAATTTAAAAATGAAAACACCTATAAAATGGATAATATGATTATTTCGCGTCATGATAAGCAAACAAGCATATTTTTAAAGAATTTAGATGTAGACAGTAATGTTGACTAAAAAGCTGCCAATTTTTTTAATCTATTCCCGTAATTGTGAAACTTTAGATCAATTATCCCACCCAATACTTCATATCCTACTAATGGTTGCTGGTTAGTTCGAATACTTGTAGACTTTTGTTGTTTCTATCCAATGCACAATATTTTACAAGGACTTACAGAGAAAGGTGTATTTGATCAGTGAACTGTAAAGGTTTTTATTAGTATCGTTATTGTTGCTCTGTATCATCAATCAATCATCTGAATGTTATTAGACTTTAGAAATTATAGTTAACTCTAACCTAATTGCGTATATCCGACAATTTATCAGTGTGTACATTTACCCAAGAGGCTGTTCGTTTCACATTACTAATTTAGACACATTTGATAGTATTTATTCACAAGATTTTTAAAATCACTATTCTTTCTTAGATTAATTATTATAATTATAACTCATTGTTATAATTATCGTTTATACTTTTTATGACACACCTAGTTTTATGAAAAAAATTCTAATATTTTGTAATGGAAGTAAATTTATCTAGATATACCCAAGATTGGAATATTATTGAACAACTAATTATTATAATTAGTCTGGTACCATCACAATCATCAAATAACTGATTATACTAGCTGACAGGAACTTGTAACACCAATATTTTCTTGACTATTGAGACAGTAGTCAACTGTATTAATAAATATTGTGTTACTGATAAATTTAGGCAGAAAATATACTGCTAATTAAAATGATCATTTATTAGTGATAAAATGACATGTATGCAGTAAAAAGATAAAATTTTAGCTACACTGTCGGCGTATACACAATCATTAATGCAGAAATAAACTCAATAGAAGGATAACACATAATGAAATATAATAAAGTACTTTGAAAAACATTAATTTCTGGAAAGTAATTGGTGAAAAATTTTAAAACTCAGTTTCAGTGAATTTCGATTTCTTATCATGAGTATCTTCTAAAGCTTATTATTTTAGAACAAAACACTCGTATTAACGCATATTTGTTCATTTTTAGAAATGTTTATGTTGTTTAGTACCATTTTTATGAACACGATTTTAAACAGCTAAAATTGTCAAAACCTGATCATTGAACTGACATTATTTGATAACTTTACATTTAACGGTGAAAGGTTATATTCTAAAAGTTAAACAACTAAAGTTTTTTTATACCTAGGGTTCGATAGAGACAAATATGCACTGTATTAGTAGATGTTGGCTATCAGATAGTGTAGTTGATGAATGAACCTTCTTAAATTTCGTTCAACCTATGAACTCAAAAGTTGAAATTGATATAAAAGGAAAGAAACATTGTCAGCCTACTCACTTTCCTATATCGATCAGTCCGTGACGAACAATAGAACGTGGCGGAAATATCCATCGGACCAAACTTTCATACTTTATACTAACTGAGATTGGGAAAATAGAATGAATTTAAGATTAGAAAAATGAAGTCATAATCTTGACTACGAAAAGAATATGGTTCACAAGTAACAAATGAGATGGGAGAATAAACAGCGTGAAGTATTGGACAGTTAGTTAATACATCCATATCGCTGTCATCGATTACCGGCCATGTAATTCACTGCTTCGAATCACGGATCGCAATTATCTCAGACTTTCAACTATAATGTAAACATTTTCCTGAACTTGTTGAACGGACGGTCGGTGACTTCATAAATTGATATCATATATTGATTTAGCCTCGTTCAGTCGTCTCATATATTTCCTGTAGTAACAAACATATCACTTTTCGATGGTCAGTAACCTGGTATGTGTAACATGTGCCTGAATCACTCAGTTGGTAGAATTCACATCCTCGCTCAGTTTCATGATTATCCATATGATGATCAATTGTTTGGGGCAAGTAAATTTAAAAATCTAGCATTAAGCGTAGATTTTCAGTCATACAGAAATACAAAGCCAACTACTCTCTACCATACCCCTCATTTGAAAGCCATTTAGAGATCTTACCTACTCTACTGGTGGTATAAACTAAGATAAACCACCCAAGTATTATGCATCCCTAATATATTACTAATGTTATATTCCATTTCAAGTGACTAAACACGTTTCTAGAAAAAAGGAACATTTATGTAAATACTTATTCTTCGACTTTTGAAATATATTGTACAACTGTATATATATGTAATATTGCCTTGATTATCATGTCAATAAATTTATTTGAATAATTTTCAAAGTGAATGATAAATAACCGCTTGTAAACATTTTTTGAAAATAGAAAGGACAAGTTTCTACATTTTTTTTGTACATACTGAAAACTATTGATGATTATTATTTTTAGTATTATTTATTTTCACTTAAAGCGAACAATAATTAAATTAGACAAGTTAATACGAGTTAACTGTTTTAGCAAAAAAGACACATGTTTTCTTTTCTTAGTAACGATATATGTGTATATATACTAAGCAAATAATTTCCGTTACTACAATGATGATATATGATTTTAAGTCCAAACTTGTTTGAATTTTGATTTACGATCTCATATTTAATTTATCATATGTTTACATATTAAGAGTCACATCAACATCATATATTTGATTGTTTTCACTAAAACATGTAGCCAATTTCAATGCCCAAGTATTAACTTATTATTATCAAAGTTAATTTTTACAAGAAATCCAAAATGCACAAATGTTAAATACACTATGCTGGTCAATTTTTTTGTCAACAAATAAATTATATTTTGAATAATACAATCTTTTAGCAACACTCATTGTGTTGATTAGATTTGACTGGAAAATAATTTTTGCAAGTTAATGCAATAAAACCAAAATTATTTTGAAGATATTTTACATTATTATTTTGTGTATTTGTACTGGAAAGTTAGCCTTATCATACGCAAATATTCTCTATACTTCTTGATGACTTGTTATAATGTTGACTAAAAAATTCGAGTAACTCAAAAATGAGAAGAATTCAAAATAATGAAAAAATATTTTCAACTGACGATATGATTGGAACATTGTGAAATTGATATAGTTTTCGATGACACACTGAACATCATTTTTAGGATAGATCCAATAGCTAAGTGATTGATTACTTCTGATTATTCAGAAAATTTATAATACTACCTCACAGATTTCTGTCTCCGGCTGTAAGGCCATTTGAAGAGCGGAGCCAACAAACTTCCCACAAAGAGGTCCTGCGTGACCGGCCTCAAGCAGTTTTCCCTTGGACTCTGAGGTCACGCTCCCAGGTCGCTAAGACCAACAATAATCTACCTTCCTTTTCAGGTCCCTGAAGAAACAACCTTCCACGGTGTGGGCAGCCGTGAAGTGACAACCGCCCTCATACCCGTAACAGCACACGAGACCGCATTGGTCACAATCAAATCCTTACTCCACCCCAAACATATCTCTTATCTCCACAACTAACTCTTCGCATATTTCTTTACCGCTAATGCAAACGAAGCGTGATCACGAAACGTTATACTTGGTCTCCTGGAACCTTGTTCTAAATTACACGTTGGAGCATTCAATGTGCTGAGATTGTGTCAAGTAGGACAACAGGCTTCCCTATCTAGGACTCTGGAATCCCGTGCCATCGATCTGTGTTGCGTCTCCTAAACGCCTATTCAAGATCTGAGTAGAACCAATAATTTGATTCCGCCTTGTCCAGATAAAGAACTAACTCGATTTACACTTCATGTATCTGGAAGCCCTGCTGCTTCTTCCCGTGGCCACGCTGGTATATCTATAGCATTGAGTCGTAGGGTAGATCTGGCTCTCTTAGGCTGAATCCCAGTAGAAGCTCTCTCCAACCAAACGAGACAGTAAGGACTCGTAAAGATAGGGAAACTCGTCGTTACCTCTTCATCTTATCTGCATACGCTCCAACTAACTGCAGCCCAAACGAGATAAAAGATGACTTTTAAAGAAGCCTTTCTAACCTTCTTCAAAACGTTAAGTGCTCTGATATGGTAATAGTGTCTGGCGATGTTAATGCTCGAGTAGGTAGACTAAGTCAAGAGGAAAGACGCCTGAGTGTATTTTATGGTATCATGACGCAAAGATCAGATAATGGAGTCAGTCTGCTTCAACTATGCTCAGATAATCACCTATTTCTAGCAAACACTAACTTTAGGCCGACAAAACGCTGAACACCACTAGGTTACATTGCTATCAACCACCGATGGAGAGGCGGTATTGAAAATTGTCACTCATTCTGGAGCACTTGTTTAGATTCAGACCATGCTCTAGTGCGTATTTGTTTGCGTCTCACTCGGCGTTGGAAAATATATCAAGCAAACCTCTTAGGGCTTTACTTAATGATAACAAAACTAAGAATATATTTCAGGAACAACTAGAAAAACTGTTAGGCGGCCTTTTAAGTGATTCCCATCCGGAGGCAGCTTGGAATGATATCCAAAAAGCTGTGGAAACAGCAGTGATATCTGCTAGTAAAGTAAACCACATTGTTAGGGAGATATGGTGGATTTCAGTAGCATCTACCGAACTGATATATGCTCGGAAACTCACCTCGCCTTGCTCTGAACATGAGGAGGAGTAGGGCCAGTTTAAGCAGAGGCTGATAAGAAGTCTACGCAACGATTGCAAGCAATGGTGGGTATAGAAAGTGGGAGGGATGGAAAAGGCATCAGTGATAGGTAACAGTAGATGACTGTTCAGACTTATCAAGGAAACTGGTATTAGGAATCCAGCTGTTAGTGAGACTATCTCAGAAAAGGGACAGGGTGTAATCCGATCTGACTGGTCTCAATCCCTGCTTGTTCCAACTTATAAAAAATGTTGAAAGCCCTCTTGTGACAATCAGAGAGGAATCCGTTTAAATAATAGTGTCTAAATTGTTAGCTTCGATAATACTCAGACGCCTAACTAGGGCTTATGATGATCAGACTAGATAAAACCAGGCTGGTTTCAGACCTGGACGTAGCTGTATAGGCGACTTATTCACACTACAACAAGTCCTAGAAAACAAACACAAATTCAAGCGTCCGACAAGTTTTGGCCTCCTGAAAATTAAAGCGGCATTTAACTCTGCTGATCGTGAGGTTCTGTGCCAGTATCTGACATTAAAAGGTGTACCAGAGAAGTACATTAACCTTATACAAGCTCACTAATCGAACACCACTGGTCGGGTGATAGCTTAGGGATAACTGATATCCCAACTGACTGCCTCAAGTGGTGTTCGTCAGGGTTGTTCACTTTCTCTGTTCTTGTTTCACTTTGTCATAGACATTCTTTTAGAGATAACGTTAACTTCGTTTGACTTTCGAGGGGTGGACCTTCTACCAAGAGATTCACTGGTTGACGTAGAATATGCCGATGACATAGTTCTATCCGGTAAAGACGCTGACAAAATGCAGAGTCTTCTGACTACCCTAATCAACAATGCATACATGTTCGGGATGCGATTCTCCTCGTGAAAATGCAGAATGTTGCTTCAGGATTGTCTTGTATCAGCACCTGAACTAGTGATAGGGAGTGAAGTAGTCGAGTGTGTTGACTTCTTCACTTATCTGCGGAGTCTCATCAGTACTGATGGTCTGGTGACTGATTTCACTAGATTATACTTCTTCAATAACATTTTTAAACCCTAATCTTTCTGATTACTGCTCATTCTTCCATTACCTCTGCTACTATGGGATTTGAATTGATGATTCTATTTCTATATGCTATTGTGGTATGTCAACTTGAACTGATGTGTGTACGTACGAAGTTCGATTATTAACTGACTGATTGGCAGTTCATCTTGAAACCAGTTAGCAGTAAGCAGATTATCAACGTTTCACTTTTTGATTACTTTAATTCTCCTCACATAAAATTCCCTTGAATATTTAGCGTCTATATATTTTTTCACATTCTGGATACATTATTTATTTTGGTAACATAATATCTTTAAGTTATTAAATTAATAACCTTTTTTTACTTGTCTAAACTAATTCTGCCTTTACACTATAAACAACTGTACAATTTACTGAATTTCTTTTACTGTAATTTTGGAACTAGGACTTTTTTATTGTGAATTTAAGAAATTTTACAAATCGAAAAACACCTACAAATATACCTCCTACAATAGAACTCGGTCACTTAGAAAATAGTTTAATCTATTTATTTTTTGTTATTATTCGTTGGACTAATTTCTTTGATTTTTAAAATTCATATTTACAACTGAATTTATTGACTGGAATGCCAACCAGAAGTTCATTTTTATTAAAAGTGTATCCCATATAGATTTTATAGACATTAATTCTAACCGATAAAATATTTAAATCTGAATCTTATAAGTTCTATGTTATATCTTATGAATAACGATCAAAAATTTATTTAATTATCAAATTATTACTAAACAGTTTTACTATTTATTTTTAAATGAAATTTCTCCATAGATGAAACAATCTATAGTCACTGAATATTGAATAAATTGGAACTGTGGAATAATTTACAATACACTATGAATTTAAAGATAATTTAGCAATCTTATGTAAATGTATCTAGTGAATGTGTAACTCAATGGCTTAGTCAATAAATATTTTCAGGTTTGAAGTCCATGTGATCTAAATTTGAGTCTTACTTGAAGTAATTGCTGCATTTTAGTGCTTATACATGAGATGTATGGATTTGTAGCTAGCCTTAATTAGAAAAAAATTACTTTGATTTATAAATTAAACAAAATATTTTTTACTTCATACACGACTTTTCCTACAAAAAGAATGTGTGAATTCCCTAAGTATTTATTAGATGCTAGTTACAATTTAAGCATAATCGATCATAAACAGAACCAATTTGTAAATCTGTCAGTTACAACGTCGAACTTCGTACATGAGTACATAAATTCAGGTTGCCATACCGCATCTGCACAGAGACGCAATTGTCAGTTGAAATCCGATAGTGGTAGGGATAGTAGAAGTATTACTGGTAGTGGAGAAAATTAGGGTTCGAAGATACGATTCGAGAAGTATAATTCATTGAGACAACTTTAGAAAGAGAAAGACAGAAATGATGAGAAATTCAGGTTAAGATTTGAGAACAAAACGAGTGGATGCACCTGCGCCATCGCAAACGATTCTGAGCCAAGTCGTTCAAGATCTCTAACCATTGGTGACTTACGTCTCGTGGATCACAACCAGGTAGCCTACATCTACCAACATTACTCAGTTCACTTGTCAGTGATTTTATGGATTTGTGCTCTGTTTTGGTTTGGCCCCACCTAGCTTTCTTCCAACCTACTCCTACACCTCGAAACATTGCTCGTAGAGGCAGTCGGTGGTCGGGCACTCGTAACACCTGTCTCAACCACCTCAACTGATGAAGTTTCACTACCTCATCTATTGAATTGCCATCCCTACCTAGTACCCGCTGATGAACCAAAACCTACGGATATCCTCTACTCTTACCGGTCTTGTTTCACATCCGGTAAGTAGGCAAATATTCACTTATTATGAAGCTCTATTATCCCACCATTAAAGTTTGAGAAATGTTATAAGTTAATTGAAATGAATTGATGCTAATCAGTATTAATACTCCTGTAAATTATCCACGGTCAAAAGCAACTCATACATTTTCAACTTTCAGACTGTTCCATTGTTTGCGGTTATAACAGCAGTCGTTAATTGTCCTTTGAACTAACCTTCTCCAATAAGTGTAACCATTGAAGAAATGTCTATCAGTGTTACAAAATATCATAAAGAATCATTTCTAGGCAGTTTTAAATAAAATAAGAACGTTTATCTAAATGTTATGTAGTTGTGTGTGATCCACACTTTTTATACAGACTTTTATTGTTCTATATGACAAAGAGTATTCACAGATGAATTGGGCTAGAATTGTGATTTATTAGTTGATATCATTTGTTAGTGCTAATTGTGGGAGTAGTAATGTGTAATTTTCCAGTAGTCTCTTAGAAATATTGTTTTATTACGGCATAGAACAGTTTGTTAATCGCTTATGATTATGAAACCGAAAGATTAAATGAAGTCAGTTTGAAAAAATATTAAAATTTTACAATAATAAACAATTCCAATTTCCGAAAATATTGAAATAATCTTTTTCATTTTCGAAACTAAGTAGCATGAAAACGTCTTAGCAAATTTCATAATTAATTCCCATAATACACTCTTCGTTAATTCGTTTAAAACTTGAAATTTCTTTTACTAACATTTCAATAAAACCCTGGACTTTTTGAAATACTTTTTTCTGTAGCAAAAAGATTGTAATACAAAGAAATTATCTGCATTTCCCCCCTCTAATTCAATGTTCAGTTTAATAGAATAATTTGTATTTTATAAAAAAATGTCAGGGAGATATGTCTCATTAATTACTTTTGAAAATATCAGCAACTTTTATGTTTAAAAAATTTACTATTTTATAAAAGTTGATTTACATAAAGATAATAGAAGATACGCAGTTAAAAAATGAAGTAATAAATACAGCGTTAGTTATTCTTTTGATGGTAATATAAGTAGTTATTAAGGAGTTTTGTTAACTTCTCAAGTATTAGTAAACACTCAATGATGAATGATAGTCAATTTTATAAAATTAAATAAAAACTGAAAGATTTTGACCACTCTATTAAAATGGACTATCTTGAATTAATCATGATCTCAGTAAAACTCAAGAGTATTGACCTTTATCTAAGAAAATTCCTACAATTTGTCAGTCAACTACAACATAGAATTTCGTACATATGTACATCAGTTTAAGCTGTCATACCACATTAGAACACAGCGACTGAATTAAAAGTTCAAATCCCATAGTAGTCAAAGTAGTAGAAGTATTAGTGGTAATCATAAAGATTAGTGATCGTCAATATCATTCAAGAAGTATATCCGAGATCTACAATTTTGTACTATTCTGAGTCTTAAATTCTATTTTGCAATGGTTGTTCTATGGATATGATTGAGTAAACAAAATTCTTTTGAAAACTACTTTAGGACATTTTAATAACTCAATTATTATTTGTAAATAATATATGACGAACTTATTTCGAATTATTGAAATCGTTTATGATAATATCTGTATTTATGGAACTTATCTTTTCCTATGAAAATATTTATGATTAATTTGTAGAATCCACATGTAACATTTTTGATATATGTTCAACCAACCCTTGTCATTCAAATGGATATTGCATCTCTAATGATAACGGAGAATTTCATTGTCGATGCTTACAAGGTTGGACAGGTTATGATTGTTCAGTAGATGTGGATGAATGTCATTTAGGCTCAACAAATCCATGTGAACACGATGGTGTTTGTATTAATTCAGTAAGTTAATTTATTGAGATTTCATAATTGATTGACATCTTAAGTGGTCATTGATTTTATAATTCATAAATTAGGAACTAATTTTGTTTCGCTGGTTTAAAATGTCTATTTGATATACAATCAATGTTAGCGGTCTACATGTAGAACCACTTTAATAAGTTCTGTTGTTTTTTTAATAATGATATTCATATCATTTAAAAAAAATTTTATTTCACTGGTGACTTTAACAAACTACACAATCAAATCACCGACCAACAGTAGTAGTAGGTGTTCGAATGGAAGGTTATTTCATAACCTTTGTGTGTCAGTTAAGTGCAAATAATCCTTGATACCAACCGCACCGACAAGCATAACACCTAGAACATAACTTCCTGTTGTTTTGTAGAAATCTCAACTTAGTAACACACAGTCAAGATCACTTAATGTTTAGCGATATTTATAGTATACAACGGTAAGTCATACAAAATTATTTCTTTATGGCAAAAATGTAATTTCCGACACCCGGAAAACAACAATGAAAATATTCTTTCTGTCTCTTTGACTTGCCAGTAAATTCGCTAATGACTTCTTTCATTCTGCACTCTTTTGAAATTAAAAATTTCATTACTTTGAATTTCTTTACATGTTTATGATTTCAAAACTAGTAGTTGATAATAATAATAACAGTATTAATAATAATCTATTATGAAAATAATAATTACAGATTTTATGCTGATTTACAGTGATGATCAGCTGGGAATAAAGGTTTAGCGTAGGGGGTAGATATGCCGTGTTAGATTGTTTGAATTGTTCTAGTTCGAAACTTGTCCAAGCAATAAGTTTTCCACATGTATTACGGTAATGCAAGGTATCAGTCAGTCAGGAACTTTTAATGATTTGGCACCAGACATCGTGTTTCTGTATGAATGGTGTGTTTAGTATCGTTCCTAGAACCATAACGCATTGGTTATAACCGTCTACGACTAGAGAAAATAAAACGGAAACAGAGAGCATGGGACAGCAAAGGCAATAATTAAAACGATAGGTTAGTCAGGTCTGTCAAATCTACCACGAGTCAGGTACGAGGTTATTTTGTGTTTTAATGTTCGGGCAAAATACTTATCAAGTTAGTTAAATTTACAGGAGACAGTGTTAGTGTAAACTATCTACAAGTAAGGCAGTTTAATTATTAGGTTTAGCAATAAAAACGATAAACTATTTAGGGTTCCTGTCATCTCACTTATGGAGTGGTATATACTTACAGCTGTAAGCACATTTAAAGCATTTTTTAGAAATAGTTAGCTTTGATATAGCGAATAAAGGATGGAAGCGATTTTATTTCGTGAGCGGACTGCGGAAAATTATTCCAGAGTCTCGAAAATTTACTGGCAAAATACTTTATATCGAGAAAGGATTTATAGTGAGATTATATTACTGGTGACAAAGACTTATGGAAGCAATAACTAGGAGTTTCTCCGTATCGAATAGCTTCATCAAATGTAATAGATAAATTATTAAGTATTTTGAAGGAAAAAGTAGATTAAGTTAAAGTCTTCTTTTCCATAATAGATCAAGTCAAAGTTTGTTACATCTGGATTCATAATTTAAATTGCAATCACACCCGAAATACGAAATTTAAATCATCTCTGAACTGATTCCAGCTTCGATTTATCCTTTACGCCAGCATTACGAAGAATAAACGTGCAGTATACTAGACGTGGTCGAAGTTAAAATATATAGAATACGAATTATGCAACCCAGAAGACGATGAGACTTGGAGATTTGTTTAGACACCTGTTCTGAGAAAGACGAATCATTAGAGTACTTGAGTCCTAAGTCCTCCACTGTATGAAATTTCAATAACACCTTACCATTTATGGTTAGAAGAAAAACAATAAGTAGTCATTAAAGAAACTGTTTGCTTTATTTTTCTAAACGAACATACTTCACAGATTTTGCAACCACCTACCATTAAGAAACAACTTAAAAACATTTGAGAAAGATGTAATGCCATCAAACATTCAAACATTTCAAAAATTTTTTGAAAGATTATGGTATAAAATGGAGTGCCCCCCAAAAAAAAGAAAAGAGGTGTTCTCATGTCTATTTTTTCACTTAGATGTATCATTATTGTTATTTCTTTCGTATCTGTCTAATCTTTTAATAATTGACTAGTCATAATCTTTTGTAATTATTGGATTGTGTACGTTATTTGACATTTTGTTTATTCGAAAACATACAATCATATATTATGCTTACGAAACAAAGAATGACATTACCTAAAATCTAAATGAATTAATTCTATTTTATTTCGAAATCAAAATCGAAATCTAGTAAACTTTTATGCCTTACAAACTTGTTCTAATCTTTTAAAACAAATTATTACAATAAAGATACATTTGTTCATTACTGTTGAACTGACGGAAATAAAAAACCTTTATCACTAAGTTTTGTTGATAATGAAACTGTAATTATCACTGGAAATAAAATCCAAACATGATTACATTCAAATCAATATTGATTAGGTGATAATTGTGATGAAATGCTTTTGGTAATTTTTCAATTCTCTGAATGTTTACATTATTGACTGATTATAGCTAAAAACAATTCAAATTATCTTTTATTATGACCGATTCCTCTAAAACTCTTATATTGAAGGTTTTTTGGTTTCTTATTTGCAATTCACTTTGATACACATCGCCCGAAACTCAGTATGCAGCTGCGGCTAGTGGATTTCAATGATAATTAATATGAGATGATTATCACAACAAATAGCCGATGTTGATTACACGATACTACGAATCTAATAGAGTTGGAAATGTGATCCATTAGATGATAGCTTAGTGATATAAAAACAAGGCCTGAATTGGACTGGTAGAAGTGATTCGGTTAGTTCTCTGATAATCAAGGCGATCGTTATTGTAGTTTAAATTCATGATGACTTCACGTGGTACAAGTGACTACTACTACTACTATCAGTAATTAGGTTTGGGATCATACTGTGATTGGCTTCTTAACATTCAGTTATGCCTCCATGTTACGTCATTTCTGAGTGCATTAAACTAAATGAGTGATTTTACAGAACTTTCTGAAATTAGCCATAAACAGAATACATGTCATATATAAATATGTTTTTTAATCTGAACTATGTTTCAATAAATTATTCTTGCAAGTTGGTTTAACTGGGGTTGCCTAGGCTCTCTACATTTCGGCACTTTTTTCTGAATTTAATTACGTTTATTCATCGTCATTAAATCATTTATTAAGTAAAAATCTGTAGATTAAAGTTTTCTTAACTTCAATCCAGAAAACAATATATCCATGAGGAAGGTTTTCGAAGATTGTTAAATTTTTTTAGTTCATATCACGAACTGAATTTGACCAGACTACTGTTGAAAACCAGGAAACACTGGAGGGCTGTTTCATTCTAGTATGAGTTACGGTATTGGTGCGTATTCATCACCCTAACTGAAATTATACTCAGAACTCTGAGGTCTAGCGACTGCCAGTTAAACTTCTGATGGTCCCAGAACATCACTTATCAAGTTAACTTAGAAATGTAGACCATTTCATGCTAACTCAGTGGTCTGTAGATTAAACATTCCCTAATAGACCTGAAGATCTTGAGTCGAATTCTGGCTGTTCATAGCTTTATTGTTTTCAATGGTTGTTTAACTAAGATCAATCTGTAATATAAACTAGAAAACACCATGTTCATTTTTTTCAGTAGATGATCATATTGTTTCATATTAATCAGTGATACCTTGGATTAATTTATTGTTCAATAACTAAAAAATTGTTTATTTTTCACTCATTTAAATGAACGCAAACTGTTGATTAATTCCAAGCTTAGACAAAACTGCTGTCTGCTCGACTCTTCATAGTTATATCTTGACTACATCAGTAGATGAAGATAAATTTCTTTTCAAATTTTCAAACTACTAATTAATTGATCAGCTACTGAATATTGCTATTCTCTAAAGATACGCAGAATCCCATAGGTGACATGATCCAGGTCGCATACAAAGAGCTAAATACCTTTAAATCGCTAAGTTACAGAAATGTCAGTAGTCTATCTTGTCAAGTTCAATCAGATTTTATGATAAAACCCGATCCTCACTGTGATTTAAAACTCATATTTAATCGTTATAATACTACGTAATCATGGTATGTGCACATGTGTTTTTTTTACAGGTTCAAATGTAATTTATCATTTTTGCCTACAAATATAAGTAAAATTATTTTGTCTATAAACCAAATATGTGAACTAGATTTCACCTAAACAATACTTTTTTTTCATCATACTGTTTTTAAATAATGATTTCGACATTTTCAAAATATACCCGATTATCATCCACAATTACTTATATAATAGATCATGTATTATGATGTGGTACATTCAGTTTTAAACTTAGTTACATATTCATATATAAATGTCACAATCATAAAGGATTGTTGGTATATTCAAAAAGTTCAATACACAACTACTACTGTTTATACTGTTGCTCCTGTTGTTTATTAGATTTGAAATAATCCTGTCTTATATTAATGTCTAAACCAATAATATTTGGATTACCAGTTGTTTAGCCGTTCAACTAATTTACAAAATAACTAACTACTTAAATCAATTCCGCTTTTCAAATAGAAATTGTACTCTGTCATCATGAGTGACAGATATAAGCTCCGCTCAACACATATCCAAGCAATATCAGTTCGTAAAGTCGGTCTGAGCCATGTTGGTAGGTACAGATCACCTGGTTACAGTCCTCACGATAGTTGGGAGCAGATCGATTAAAATGTTTGCGATACATTTCGTGATAATCGGTACTAGCAGATCCCAACTCCATAACTTACTACTATCATGCTCAGTTTAGAATCACGAACGTTCATGTACTGGAACCTCGAATGTGAGTTCATGACGAATCTTGAACTAAAGCAAAACAGTTGCTCAATGCCCCATGGATTTTACTGATTTTATCTAGTTGATTTCGATCCTTCATGAAATGTTGACCATTAAAAATGTATATTTATTTTGGATTTTACTCCTTGTAGCCTGGCGATTATCAGTGTTTATGTCCACCTGGATATAATGGATCAAGATGTGAAGATGAAATTTTAGAATGTGCATTCAATCCTTGTAAACATGATGGAACATGCATAGATTTAATCAATGGTTTTCAATGTATTTGTCCACTTGGTAAGTATTCTATCATGATTATTAATATTTATTGGGAGGTAGTAAATGGATTTCAGTTAGAATATACGTGTGTGGAATTCCTGAATAATGGCTGGTTATACTAGGATGAAACAGTTGCCCAGTTCTCCTTGGTTTTTAATGGTATTTTAAATGAAGTTACTCCTGAGTATCTTCTTTTAATCCAACTAATCTACGCAAAGATTTTAGATCACACCTATAGCTACCATTGTCACTGCCATCATTTTAGTCTTAAAATTTCCATAGCAGAGTGATCGTAGTAAATTAAAGTGTAGAATCCAGAAAGCGATGAATAGGTGCTTCATGCAGTATAAGGCTCCAAAGTAGTGCACATTCACTACCCTGCCAGGAGTCAGACCCAAGGCCTGTAGCACTTTCAGAGAACACCTGATTTCTAGGCCATCAGGTTGGGACCTAATAGTTCTTATTTCTAACTCAAAAAAGTTTTGGATATTACTCATTTATCTTTCAATGTCAATCGCAGGTAACTGCTATGTATTCAATACAGTTGAAATTATACATCAAGCCTTTTCATCGGGACTCCATGAATTATATCTCGAAATAAGCTATCTCGGTGGCTCGCACCCAGACCCTGAGTTCTCGCGTCTGATACTTGATGGGATCATAGATTAAGATTAATATAGAGTAGAAATATCTGTTTGAAATAGTTCTAGTTGGTGAAGACACTGACACTGACTACCCGAATCAACAGTGCAAGCATGTTTGGAATTTGATTCTCCCCTCAAAATGCAAAATGTTGCTTCAGGATCAGGTTGCATCGGTACCTGGTCTAGTGATAGGGAAAGAGGCAGTTAAGCGTGCAGAACGCTTCAAAAATCTTGGGAGTCTCATCAGTGCTAATGATCTGGAGTCTGACGAAATCACGGTGCGGATACAAAAGCTTCGATTGGCTTTTTCCAACTTGCTTCATTAATGGCGTAGGCGAGATATCAATTTGCTAACCAAAGGTATGAAACATGACCACTATGAAGCGACGATATTCAAAGATTACTAGTATTCGATCAAAGGTATCTTCGAAACATTGGTAGTATATCCTGGGACCATCGAGTAGGCAACCCCTGGGGTCAGTAAAATGGTACTAGTTAAGGATGGCAGATCAATAGATGAAGTAGCAAATGTTCATCACCTGGAGTGGTTGGGACATATGTTACCTATGTCTAACCACTGACTAACTGGACGAGAGATTTTTTAATGATGTAGAGGCTGGAAAAACGCTAGAGGCGGCCTGATCAAAACATAACACCAATCCATGAAGTCGTTAATAATTGTACTAAGCTGTGTCAGGAGGTTTGGGTCCGCAAGACTAGAGTAACCGATGACACAGCTAAAAATCTTTTGCAATGGTGCAGGTGCATCCATTCTCTGCGTTCTCATATCCTAATTCTCCGATTTCTTCATCACCTCTATCTTTCTCTTTTTAAGTTTATTTATTTACTGCTCATTCTTCCATTACCTCTACCACTGTGGGATTTGAATTGATGATTCTATCTCTATGAGCTATTGTGGTACGGCAACTTGAACTGATGTATGTACTTATGAAATTTTACGTTGTAGCTGACTGATTGACTGAAATGTCTATTCTATGCTTTATTCTATGCACCCCAGCTGAATTTTATACACCTACAAAATGTATTATGGTCATTTTATCACGGAACCTAATATTATGAGATTTAGAAGCGCGAGTATTTGATAGAAAAATTCTTCTTAAATAACTTTGTCTTCATGAACATCTTGTTACAATGAACAACATATTTTTCTATCTACATAGCAAGTTATGAGATTAGTTATTTAGTATAGAACTTACAACATACAGTCTCCAAATCTCTAGACAGTTAGATTGCAAAGTAAATTGAATACTTCTGTATAATATCTAGGATACCTCTGAATAAAAAATGACTGAATAACAGTTGTTCAGTGTTTATCGTCATTTTATTCCTCTCAATAATAATGAAAACTAATCTTTTTTTTACCTAACATCCGGTTAATTTTAGTTCCATTTAAATTTTAGACATTAGACAAAAGTAAATGTTTCATTCTACTAATCACTAATATACATATTTAGAAAAAAAGTTGAAATGAAGTGTGCGAAATTTAATTATTTCACCTTTCTTCTTAAAATTATATTTAAAACTTCGCACATTCACGTGCTTTAGTGGATCTCGTTAAATGGGTCAATTAGTAGTTTTCTCCAATAAAACTGTAGGAAAATGGAGTGACTCATCAACTCACTAAACTATAAACTATCAAACCGGATATAAAACGTGTCATGTCAAATTCTTCAACTTTTTTCATCTTTTAAAATTCTTTTTGTTTTATTTAACACTTCACTCAAGTAAATTCTATTTGAACGAGTTAAATAGGCATACACGTAGGTGGTGAGTGTATGGTAGGTATATTGGTTCACCTCGTTCTGAATCTCACATCAGTTTTCTAGGTTGATTGGTCAAATTATTGAGATTGGAACTGTTTACATCCGTTCGTATTTTTTTCTTACCTTTTGGTATTATTGTAAAAATTTCCTTTAGATTAACTTCATCTTTTTGGGAATTTATTGATCGTTTGAATAGTCTCTAATGCAGTTATCAAAATAATTAATCATCTTTATCAGGCGTCATACTTCATATATATTACATACGAGGTAGGATAGAAATTGTGTTAGTTTCTCAGTTCCATAGAACTGAAATCAAAAAGCAGCTTTTAACTTCTCAGATCGAGGCAAAAAGATTATTTCATAGATAAGATGATATTCATTATTAAATCAATTGAATACAAAACTAAAATAGTACTCTGTCAGTGTACTTCTTGATCAATTAATGGATCTGCACACATTTATTTCTTGTCTATTCGAGGTGCTATAAAATATATTGCCTTGATTGTAAATGACTGGTATTTCAGTCAGTTTTAAGTATCGTAGAACCTGGACATGCGTGCATCACTTATAGTTACCCCACCCCATTAACACATTTGGGTGAAATCCCAGAGTGATACATGTAGTAACAAAATTAGTGATGGTAGGAAAGATTATACTTTGAAGATACGGTTATAAATGATAATATGGATTCGTGAAATTAAGAAATTCATAAGGTAATTTAAGAACTTTGGATCTAAGCGAAGAAATATCTCCCAAAGTCTCTAACCAATGAAGTCAGTTATCATGCGAACTCGAACCGACTAGTCGACATATACCTACATGTGGTAGCCCAATAGTCGATCCCTTTATGGACTGATAGGATGTCTTGGCTTGACTGTCTCTGTCATTCTCCCGCCATAATTGTACACCATCGATCGTTGCGAACCGAGGTACTTAGTGGATGGACATTTGCAATTCATATACTAAACTATCTCATTCGATGAAGATTCATTAAATTGTCAATCGATTTGTACTTTCTTCACCTTGCACTGTATATCTAACCTCAGAGTTGGTATGTAGATGGTGCCAACATATACGAGCAGGGATTCGAAAGCAAAGAATACTAGTAAACTACCGCTACCCTCTATTCCAAAGCGACTTTTCACTGCCGTAAGTAGAACTGAGTGAACTGCTGAAAGATATAAATACCATTTATTTGAGAGCCGGATTATCACATCTACGCCCTAATTGACTGAAATTGGTGAAGGTAAACAACCACTCGTGTTGAGGTTTGTCATAAGTGAATGGAGTGACAAATAAGACTCTGTTCGTTTAATCTGTACCAAAAGGTGTAAACATTTTGGTAGTAGTTTTGTGGTGCGCGCTACTTATAATTAGTATATGACGCGAGTGTAAACGTAATGTCTGGCAGCAGAAGATGGGGGAAGATCAAGAAAGGAAGAGTAGGAACACAATGGAATTTGTATGAAACGCATGAATAGTGAGTGAAATGTAAGACAATGGATTGATGATGGATTGAAGATTTGCAAATTAACGATTACGATATAGTTTTCCTATTTTACTGAGTAACTCTGTAATTCTCGTTAAATACAATTCGGTTGGTCTCACATGTGTTCTATTTCACTACCGTTTAACAGATAATACCAATCTATGGTTGAGTGTCATAACTGACAATATAACAACAAATCTACCACACTCTGTCTAGATAAAATCAGTTCCTATTCATCATGGAAAATATTCGTTTTCAGACTTATTCTTTACTTTTCTTTTTACTGAAGCATTTTATTTGCAATTAATTTTCACCAGCAGCAATGTTATTTGTTTGGCATTCTGCTTATCTTTTGATATTTTTATGCCTTTATGCTAATCGAAGTTTGGTTATCAGGGTATTGAAGTAGCTGAAGGAATGAGTTTTGGCCATAGAGGGGTATTGGAATTTGAATGTGTATATTATTGTTATTTGTTCAAGATAAAATGCTTTTAGCCTAACGATAGGATCGAGGCAGTATCGAGGATGTACATATGCCGAAAGACACTCTTCCATTGTATTCCACATCATCAACGAAAAAATCCTAATCACCAATACAAGTCTACTACTTCTAAATGAATTCTAAGAAAATATTGTATTTTGTACTTTCTTTTTTTGATATTTTGCTTAATTTTTAGGTTACGAAGGTGTAACATGTGAAGATGAAATAAATGAATGTTCGTCTTCACCATGTAAAAACGGTGCACAGTGTGAAGATCTAATCAATAATTATACATGTCATTGTTTACCTGGATGGACTGGTTTACACTGTGAAAATCGTATTCGACCATGTGCTGCTAATTCATCATTATGTTTAAATAACGCTACATGCTTAGATTTAGTGACAACAAATGAAGATATTGAAATGAATAATGTGTCCAATGATCTTTTTCAATGTCTTTGTCCCGAAGGTAATTTGTTTATACACACTAATAGTTTACATCGGCTTCACTAAGCTATATTGTAGAACTAATCAATACCGAGAATCTTAATTCAAGGTGATAGCGAACTTAATTTTAACCTATTTGTTGTTGAGAGAGTGTTCATCATCGAATGTTGAGTAAAGTTAGTGAGAATTAGATAACTGAATATCTCTAAAACAGAATTATAAAAAAGAAGAGAAGGGAATGATCGCCTGGCCAGATAGTTTTTATCTAACTTTTATCTAACCTGTAGGTCTTAGGAATATAGAACTGAAATGATTAAAAAGAAAATGAAAGATCACAATACTTTAATCTCAGTTCCTGTAATCAGAAAGTATTCTCGGGTGGGCATTATCGTGTATATTGATGACTGGAAAATCTAAAAGCATCTTAGAAGATTATGAAGTCAATATGAAATAGTTATTTATCAAAAACAACTTAAATCACTTCAATAAAGTCATTTGCAACAGTACTGATAAAATGTAAGGATAGTTAAGAAGCTATAGTAAAAAGTTCAATAAAGAAAATAATTTTTTGTCAAAAAACGAACTCCTCTAGCTAGCATACTTTGATTTGAAAACTGAGTTACCTGTTGGAGACTCGCAGAAGTTCATCAATAAGTAAAAAAAAAATGTTCCAATTCCCATGTTTTGTGTCATAAGCTATTCTTTCATAATGCCTATTTTTATGATTGACTGAATAAAAGCTTCAATATCTCTAATCTTTAGGGTCACATAAGATGAACACTGTACTTTTGTTGAATCTTCGTATTCAAATAAATTGTTTTTTGTTTAGGTTAATTCAAATTAATAAAGCTTTTAATATGGACTAACATGAACAAAATAATATCTGAAAATCATCTAGCATTGAATTGTTACTGTGTTCCAGGTTCGATGCCTTATCAATCCGTACAAAGGGCTTAAATTAAGATCAAACCCTATGACATTCAGATTTCATGACAAACACAAACATTTAAACCAGCTGGGTAGAAAGTCAAATGTTTTAAAACTCTCATTAGTTCTTTCTACATTACAATGATTAACGGTGATAATTATCTTCATTCCTACCTGGCCACTTATGGAGTTAGTCCTAAACTGAGTACAGACACCTGTTCATTAGTTCTACTTGATTTCCATTGATTCTGTATCTCGTTTGCATCCATTATAGTCAATAGATTTTTTGGCAAGTTTAATGCAATAATTTCTTGTTAGAATAGTTCACATATGATCAAGAATGCTTCATAACCCAAACTCCGTAGATCAGTCAATTTCAATGTCGTATGACATCTATTTCCTTAATCGTTTAAATCATATTGATTATTTCTTAAAATACAAAATTTAGGTAACAGAAACTTAAATTTAAACAAAGTAAATAATTTTATTACGTTTTGATGTTATAAAAGGATTTTTAAACTATTCTGTGAAGTAATGACATTTTTTTAAGATGTTTACTGTTTGAGGAATTTATAAAACTCACTCAGTTATATTTAATGCAATTCAAGTGAATATTGTTACATCACATTTCGTTGAAATCAGTGGTACCATTGTTGAATTTAAGGCAAACACATCCTACAGATGTGTTAATTCGCAGACTGAATAATTCAATATTAACATCTATTGCTATGTTATGTGTCCTAATCGTACTGGGAAACACTGACTACCTTGTTAATAAGTGCTAAATAGTAGAAACCCTATATCAGAGCTTCTTACTAATTTAGTTTCAACTCATTAAAAATCGTATAGTCAACTTTAACTAAAAAAGGAGCATTAGTTGTAGTTGGTGGTTATTACCTATGTTCATTTAATCAAAATTAATTATTCTTAATAAGTACAGAGATTTACTTTTAATGTATATGAAACTTTAATCACAAGTTATCGTCTTACAAGCCAATCTTATTGTTATTATATATGGCCTTTTTAAAACAGAAATTTTGTCAATTTTAACGGTATCACTATGCTATATACATACACTTTTTAAAAAAAAATACAAATGACAATTTATCTTCTATGTATCTCTCTCTCTTTGTGTCTTTTCTGTAACAATAAAACTAAACACCAAAAGGTTTTCATGGCAAGTTATGTGAAACAAAAATAATTAATAATTATTGTACGGAGATTGTCTGTCAAAATGGTGGACAATGCAATATTTTAGACAATGGTAAAGAATATTGTACATGTTTAAATAATTATCATGGATTATATTGTGAAGCGGAAAAGAAACAAACCGAACAAAATGTAGAATTATTCAAGACAGAAAAAGAACAAAATGAAATTGTACGTTTTTAAAAAAAAACTATTTTATCAAAAAAACTGGTTGAGTTGGTTTCTTTCATCTATTTTGAATTAAAATGACTTGTTTTCTTTAGGAAACGTATTTACAGCCTGAATAAGTGATAATAATAATAATAAAATGGCAGTAACGAAATAAACTGCTTAGTGTAACACGAGAATATTAATACAAGATTCAAATTTAAACTAGTATCTAGTTGCTTGTGAATAGATGTATGTTTTATAGTTATAACTCGTTACATACACGTTGTAGCCTGATCAAGAGATAGGAACATTGGATTTCCTCTTGCGTATTCATCTTTGTCCCGATTGTTTATTACATAATAAATTTATAGACTTATTGAGTTCCTTTATATGATAGAGAATTTCGGCAATTACTACTTCATGGTAGACCTATTCAAGTCAATAATTTTAATGATTAATTTTACCATAATAATAACTATAACATCATCAAAATTTAAAAAAAGGTAGTTACACTTAGTCAACATTATGTAAATTCAGTAATTTAATAATTTATCGGGGTTGTGAATCAATAATTGTTAGAGTACCATTAGAAACCTGCAACCCATGGACGGCTATTTTATCGTAGTATGCGACTCATCAGCAATGCGCACCCACGTCTACTGATCACGGGAGTCTAAGCTCGGAATTCGGTCTTGCACGCGGAAGCCTAACTTCTGCACGACTGAACCGGCATCTGGCGGTGTTAATGTGTAACTGAAATCAATCCAGGGTATTACGCAACCTCACCCATTGTCATTGATGGATAACTGTCTATAACCGACAAGATTGAACTCCACTAGTCACGGTTTTTCACTGGAAACGCGGGAATCCCCTCACGAGGTTAGTCACATTTAGCACATTTGAGCACACATTGACAGATTCATGATTGCAGTGAAACTCTACAATCTTCGTAACTCTATAATGAAAATCAAAAACAATTTATCTTACATATTTATAGTTTGTAATTGTTTTTAATTTTCAACAACTCAGTATTCGAAAATAATGATCATATCATCATTCCCCTATTCCATTGTTTTACTGTAGATAATTTTTCTTCATGATCTGGGACTGACTGGAGAATGATTGAGAATGCCAGATGTTCTATAAAGCATCTGCGTAATTCATTTATCATTGTAATAATGGCTAGTTTTTAGAAGGATCTCGAGTTAGAAACCATGAGTGTGTGAATTCAGCAACATCAACATTAGCAGACAGTTAATACCGATTGTATTGAAGAAGGACTAGGCTGTACCAAAGATTGATTGAATCTTAAAACATGCAGTTTAAGATTTTGCTTTGTTTTCCTTTGAACAGCAACGTACTAGCTTCGTGACCTGATGGTACTAGGTTCAGTTCCTTGTAGGGAGTTCCGGTTACGCAATAATAAAAGTCTCTATATGAGGACAAAAGAGCTTCACCGTATTCTCTGATTCTTAATAGTTTCCTAGTTGATGCTAATTCGAATCAAGACTTCAAGTTAAACAATATCCACAAAAATCCTATCTTTAGTTTGAAGATTTAGATGAAACATTGTTGCCTTGAAGGGATTGTTAACGCACCTCCTAAATTCCATTATAAGACACTGTTGAACTTTAATGGAAATACAGCTATGGATTCCATGTTTGATTAGTTCGTAGCCATATTGAAATATGAAATTGGCTATGACTGATTTTACTCACACTTAATCTCATTCATCAATGATTTTTATCATCAAGATATTTCACTTAATGTTTGTTTTAAAGTTCTCAATATTAATTTTCAGTCTTTCAATTTATTTAATTTATTATGCAATAGAAAAAATTTGACTGTTTCAATACGCCATGTTTAAATAATGGCACTTGTCATGTACTTGATGACATCAGTAACTTCTCAACTATAACAACAATAAACAATGCTACTGTCAATATTAATAGTAGAGATGGTAGTACAGTTTGCCATTGTAAACCTGGCTTCTCTGGTCGCTATTGTGAAAACGTACAAGATTCTTGTCAACATGTATCATGTCATAATGGAGGAGTATGTATGTCACAAGACGATAATAATGCTAAAAATCTGAGTGTTTTAACATCAAAATCGAGCTACACCTGTATATGTCAACCTGGATATTCAGGTAATCAACTCTTCTTTATATTTTGTTACAGAATCACTTTTTTGTTCTGTTAATATCGATCTCAATAATCACACCATCCATCATACAGGCTATTTTCCACAAATTCTTCAAGATTGTTTCTGAGAGGATCTGCTTTCTTTTGTATACTTAAATCGATTTAATTGGGAAATTTATTATTACGGCGACTGACTGGTGCATCTATGCATACATACGCATATACAGAAGCACTTAACCTTTTAAAAGTGTGTAATTAGGGGGAGTAAAATTACCTTTAAGTATTTTGATAGCATAATGAATATAAGATCAAAGTGTATACGTGAAATATGTATGGTTAGCATGAAATCGGTAATTTTTTTCCACATTCATCTAAGACGTATTTACACGCAAAATAACCGAAAATAAAAAGGTTAAATAAACTTAATGTGAATAACACCTATCTAAGCATTCTTTTTATTCAGATTAAAATCAATGTTTATCAAGATTTTAGGTCTAACTAAAGTAAGTTGTATTCAACCAAACAATAATGCTTATACCGAGTACTTTGTAAAATCAAAGGTTCGAACTTCTAATCACTATTCACAACTAGAACAAAGTCGATTTCCATAATGTATGTAGTCTGAATTTGTTACTGTTATCTGAAATTAAACAATTGTAATGTTTCATCTGATAATTGAATCCGAACGCTTTAGAAGCAAGTGTTCTCTCTAATTTTCAAGCTAACTATCTATGATCGATTTATGTGAACCCTATTGTGATAATATTCATGCATGATGAAATTCATCTATTTAATGACTGATATTTACTTCATTATCTAGTGTTTGAATGGCGTCTTGATAAAAATTCAAATAAAATAACGTATCGGAAAGAGAGTTGAGATGCATAGAATTTCAACAAATTGTATTTATCACCTAACCAAACTTGAAATACACTTCTGATATGGATTAGCTTTTACACGATCAATTTTCTATAGTTTTTGTGATAAAACAAAATCATCAAACAATTTCAACATGAACTATTTTGAATATAATTAATCCAACCACCTTCGATAATACATTTCATAAGTGTATCTATAAACAAAGAAATGTAATAAAAGTATGATTCGAAGAAACAATCGCTAATCTATTGTGTTAATTTAAAGGTTGGCTTTTTTAAGTCTCATTAATACTGGCTTTTTGGAATAAAAACTTCTCTTATCTCAAACATAATGTGATGCATTTATTTTTGACACCGCTCTCGGTTTTCCATTTCGGATGATGATTTATACGAAGGAAATAGCTGGAAATTAGGGCTCACTGGAGAGCTGATTTCACCATTATACCACCCCTCTTGTCTGTGGTAACCCTGTAAATTTAGTAGAACCAAGGATATTTATTTATCTTGTGTCTTCAGTGAGTAACGCACTAATCAGTATGGGATGTTAATTATTTTCGGACCTAGTGTTACGATGCGCCATGCCGCGATCTGAAGACTCTAGATTCTAATCCCTCAAAAAAGGCTGATTGAACGAGATGGCAAAAGTTAGGAGAGATTATCTATTCGACTGTCGAATAATATCAGCAAATACTCGTCTACATATGTGGATTCATTCCCTTAGAGAAGAAAGCCATTTCTTAGCCAGTGATATGCAGTCTTCCTTTAGGACATTTCCTGATCGTCATCTAACGGCTTTCTCATTAAGTCACTTCTGAATGGCCTAGCATACAAGCTAGTTTACCTTTCAAATGGGTATTTTATTAGTTGGTATTTATCTGAGTTAAGAAAACATTAAAAATTGGGAAACATGTGACCAGTGTTTCGTCCTCTCGTGGGACTTCTCAGAAATGGTCATCTACGATTATTCAGGTTCTCTTGGTTGGTGTTACTTAATTTTCAAATTAAATCAATTAATCATATAAAGCCACCATTATCCAGTGCCATAGACGATAACTGTTTGCTTCATGGAATGAATGGATTCCATTTATCATGATTTTCCACGGAAAATCCAAGAAGTTATTTTGAAGACATTAATCATTTCCCTTTGTAATGTTTCATTGTAAGGGCTTTGAAAGAATAATAATTATTTAACGTTTCGTTCGAAGAGTACACAATTAATTCTCGAAACTTCATAGTGTATGTTTTCTATCTGAAACTTGAACATTCCTTATAATAATACGCTTCTCATGTTCGTTAAAAATATCTGATTGCCTAATTTAAAATGATCGAGTGAATGAACAATTCAACGTTGAAAAGTGAAATGAAATTTACAAGTTACCGAAATATGGTTTACCTAACTGTATGTTATTTAGTAGCATTGACAACAGTTCGATTGATTACAGTTTCCATTTGTTCAAGATTGTTTATGTTATTTAAAACGATATTACCTGAATAAGTTGTACTGTTAAAGCTTAAGTTTGATACTTAATGGTCACTGAATAATAATCACTGAAATTAAATTGACTAATGTTAACATTCCTATGATGGAATGATATATATATGTGGGGGGTTATTACTGTCAATATCATTATACTAGGTTACCATTCGTTCGTGTTCGAAAAACTAATCATTATTGTAACATATCGGACAAAGCTCTGATCAATTTTTGAACTTTTATTTTTAAACTGAACATTATGGTTTAGTCTTTCTAATCTGTACTATAATTTAAGTGGAAAAAACTGATATTGTTTACAAGTTGTGTATAAGATGTAAATTCCTATTGAAAAATAAGCTTTGATTTGTGAGCATTTTAGAAACACATAGATGTGTGGTGTCAATCAGTATAAGTGTGAGTATGACATGTTTGTTAATTGAACGTTGAGTTATCCAGTCATTACTTTCATTATTAATAATAATAATAGTGGTTTTTTCAATTATTGTTACATATTGTTGAGTGATTTTGTTTAAATAATGGTTTATTTTGTCTACCGACTGAATGATAATCATGATAGTAATTATAATAAACCATAATGGATTCACACGCTTTAAATCATTTTAATCTGTTTATTCTTTTCGCTTTATCGTAAACTAATTAAAAAAGATAAAGAGTAGAGTTGTTATAACATTGTAATCAATGGATTATCCATACTTTCTACAACTACAACAACAATAACAACAGCAACGGCTGCAACAGAAACAGAAGACGAGTATGTATACATATATCAATTTAAGTTTAGAAATATATAAGTGAATTTATAATGATGTCTATGAAGTGGTTGCATTTTCTTGTATTGGCGCCTCAGAAATAGTAAGAAAATTGTCTTTCTTCTTTTATGGGGAGGTGGATAGTTGGCGTAAGTAGTTGAACCAATAGAGGAATGTAGAAGGGCGTAAATAATTTTTTACCGTGAAATGGTCAGTGTTTTCTTTTTCAACAAAAAAAACAAAAACAGAGAATGTGTAGGGTGAGGAAAACAGTAAAAAAAAATGCTGTACCTAACTACTTTATTTAATCAGATATACTAATATGAAATAATTTACTGAATAGATGCAAACCGTCAGAAATGGAATAAATATTAACAAATTTTGAATTGAATGAAAATTTACAACAAATATATATATATATATATATATATATATATATATATATATATATACATATATATATATATGTATTGGGTATACACAGTAATAAATATTAACGTGACATTTTTTTTTCTGTTGAAAGAAACAACATATTAACTTATTTTTCTGTTCTGATAGATCTTTGTAAGTAGCCAACTAGACTTTCCTACATCTATTCACATATACATTTATGCATTTGACTATGTATGCAGGTATGTATGCTAGTGTATTCGATTTCACAAAACCAGATAATCATCTCCTTGTTGATGTTAAATTATATTTCATGAGAAATCTATAAAATATTTACGTTTAGTATTTTCATTAACTTGTCTTTATTTATTTATTTATTTGTTTTCCAAAAATGATAAAGTGAGATTATTTTGTTTATTCCTTTTTTTTTTAAAAAAAAGTAGTTTTGTATACAAAATGAAAGCGGATACCGTTATTTTTAAAAAAAAGTATAATATTACTGTGGTATTTATTTGCCATATCTTTATACAGGCACATGAATAAAGTCTTATAGTTGATAGAGAGAATTCTGTTTATCATTTACTGCATTTCCGATACAATCTGCTACATCATGGTATTGTTTATTGTCTGTAGCCTAGGTGTAATCAATACATTTTCATTAGTATAAAGGGTCCTTGAAGATTGTTGAGTTTGCATAGTTCACATCCTAGATTGGCAAACATGGACTGCTAACAATATCTACAATCCTTTATCCTAACGACAATTTTACTTTTACTAGTGATCAGCTTTCAGAAGTAATTCCACTGAATTGTTGTGGTATGATATAAAAAATAGAGTTCAGCCATGTACCCGCGAATATCAATGGGATGTAGTCGCGCGGCATCCAGAATCGACTGAAGTTAGAAATTCAGTTCATTAAATGCTTTACCTGTGATTCTAATTTATAAGCATCATAAATTCGGTTTCAAATGTGGTTACTGCTGGGCGGTTGTGAGGAATTTCGTACTAGGATGGAACAGCTATTCAATGCTTCATGGTTTTCAACTGTTAATCTGGGTTTAATTTGTTATGCGAACTATAAAGCACATTTCTAATGGACAGTCAAAATGGATATATATATATATATATATATATATATATATATATATATAAGGTTGTTTTAGTTTTCACTGACCTTTGAAATAAGTATCTCTCTACCAAGATCCAACATTCTCTCTAATTAAAACGTTTACCGGCAGAGATAATATCGATTGCATTTGTATATAATTCCATCCGGTGATGATTACGCATTAGAAAATCATCATTCGGACTGGTAACTGAAGTGAAACTGAAACCATCGATTCATAGCCTTCATTTTGAATATCCTATGTACAAGTATTTGAATGATGGCTTCACATATATATACTCAGTTTATTAACCTGTAGTTCCATCGCCTAGTAACTACTCAGAAATTAGGAGGTAGGTTTTTTGGCGAATCCCAATTCAATAATATTTTAAAGTTATGCGTAAAACTTAGAGCAATAGAAACGGTCAAATAATCATTTGAGGATTATTATAACTGCCTGATATGAAATAATCATGATGAATCTAAGAGCTGTATCACAGTTTATTCTTTCTAACTGCTTCTATTCTATGTGTAACACTTGCATTGTTACCCTTTCTGGTTAACAAGTTTTATTTTGTATCAGAATTATAGTCTAATACTTTTACTTCATCAACAAAACTTCATCATCCACATGGATATGTAATAAGCTTAACTGTTATAATAAATCAGCTGTAGAACTTTCAAACTAAAGAAAATGAAAATCCTCACCTGAATGTCATCTTTATTAGTATGACTCATTGTCAGCTAGGCAGTAATAGTAATAATAACTACAACAGCCTTACCAGCAAATGACTATACTCTTTATTTAATAACTGAATTACGATCATTTCATACTTTACACTTAGTCAATTAATAATAATGGTTGTATGAATTTCTAAAATTCATTATATGATTTATGTGTTATTATCTTTTCATATCTCATGTACGCACACATATCCTTACGTACGTACATCAGCATACATATATATGCATATATCGATATTTTTATTAAAAAAATGCACATACACACGGATGAAAGTATTTTTATTTGTAATACACTAAATTGAAGGCTATATATTTAGTATGAAATATTGTGTGTGATTTAAAAAGTTATAGTATAAATATTTCGTTAAAATAATCCAAGATCTCCTATTTTTAACACATTATTGTCATAACAGATTCAAATAATGCAAGGATTTTTTATATTCAGAAAAACAAATGTCAAAATGTAGGAAGTTAGTATAATGAATATTGGGTTAAAAAGTACGGTGACTAATTATCCTGGTCATGGATCAAATCAAATTTAGATAGCTGTCATAAGATATGATTTATTTTATTAAACTTGATGGAAGTCTGTGACTACTAAATACGTATGTTTAGGATTTTACAGAAGAACGTTTTCTAGATACCAGTTAAATTGTCATGATAATTAACACCAAAATAAGTAATTATGAAATCTTGATTGGATGACAAGTAGATCTCTTTTGGGGTAGTGCTTTTTGTGCATAGTTTTTCGTTAAATTGGTTAGAGATACCTTATTTTACAAAGATAATCATTTCACGTTGCTAATGTATGTGTCTGCTTATCATCCTACTAAATGACACTTATCTACTTAAGAGTAACCTCTGTTTATAACATTAACACAAGTGGATTTAAAAATTACTAATTCAAAATTAAACCTCAGTGGTAACGATAATATAAATTGCACTTTGTTGAAGTAAACCAAATCGTTCTCATAAGTGTTAATAGCTATAAGGCTTTCATCGAATTGATAACAGTTCATGAATCTATGTACATGTATATTAAAATTTATTAAGTAAATCCTATTTTTTAAAAGTGTCTAGTTGTATTTATTTATCGTCTTTTTTATTCTGCTAGGTAAACATTGTGAAATTAATGTATATGACTGTTTCAATCAACCTTGTGGATCTTATGGAATTTGTAAAGATGAAATTGATAGTTATCATTGTGAATGTTTAAAAGGATGGAAAGGATTACACTGTGATAAAAAATCATTGTCAATAAAACAGATTAGAAATGAAAAAAATACTGAATCCAATTCAGTATTGATGGAGATGATGATGATGCATAACAATTCGAAAGAATTTCATTTCAATCGAAATAGATTATGTCCTGAAAATTATTGTGCTAACTCAGCTATTTGTATTTCCATCAACGATGATATATCTTCTTTTAAAATGAACAATACAGAAGTGTCAAACAATTGGAATGTTGGAAATGAATATCAATGTCTATGTGAAACAGCTATCGGTCGATTTAAAGGTAATGAGAATTTCGTTTTCATAAAGTTGCGTAAATATATCTTCATTGACAGTTCAATGCTTTGATAGACATTTTTAAATGGAAAAGAAACTTTGTTAATCCCACTTTTTCTACAGTCACAGTGAAGGTGATTACTAGCAATTTTAAATAATAAATTAGCTTCTCTCTATCAACTTTAACTCAAATCATATTTCCCATTATTATATAATCGTATTCATATGGTATGTAATGTTTGTTTTGAATCCATATTGGTGTCAGCATTTTCAATGTATATCAAAATGTGTCTGAATGGAATGACATTTTCTTCCCTATTTCAACTTTAATTGGAAAAGATATACTAATAGAAATCGTCACCGGTGCGGAATTTCGTGTAAGGTTTCACTGAATTATATTAAGGACATTTAATCTATTAAAATATTCTGTTATTAGAATATTTTCGAAACCATCCAACCTATACTCTTCCATTGAACCAGTGAAATATTTTTATGTCATTAAATCTTCGTGGTTCAGGAAATTATTTAGTAAAACTATTATAAATCAGTAAGTATAATAGTTATATGTCTGTTTTTACATTACGAGATTCCTGATTGGCTTTCAACTATAAAATCTTTCATAAGAAATTTCGTTGAAATCAGTGACTTATTAGTTAAGACATTTAAAATGGAATCATATTACTTTCAACTTATTTCAGTTTAGCGAGTCGACTATATATATATATATATATATATATATATATATATATATATATATATATATAAGTACATTTGAATTGCGGCTGGTAGTGGAATCCTGAAATGAGCACATTTTATCTTGTTTAGTGCTTGTTAATCTGACATTCGTCAACTAAATACACTTTTGTTGTCGAGTTAAACTATGCAATCCGTTTCCTTTTCTACTGCTTCTATTCTTAAGGTACTTATTGTGATATGGACGTGAATGAATGTTCTGAAGCTGAAGAAAACCAGTCATCATTGTGTCAAAATGGTGGACAATGTATCAACACTTATGGATCGTATATATGTAGTTGTACAAAACCATATCATGGTAAACATTGTGAACATTCATTCAATCCATGTGACTTTGATAGTACATCAATCTGTTTTAACGGAGGAACATGCTTACCAACATCAGACGGTTTAGGTACAATATGCGTCTGTCCAAAAGGATTTACCGGACCTCAGTGTAGAGTAAGTTGTTGCTGGTGCAGTTGACGTATTTTCGCAATTATTATTGATAGTTATTTGATTTAAAGAACCCTAAATGAGATTTTTCTGCGATGAATACAACATAAAGATTCAATTAATCTCTTCACAATCACTAGAACTATGTAAACGGTAATAGTCAGCTCAATAATAACGTACTTTACAATGTCTCGGAGGTTCTAGTGAGAGGTCATGACAGGTGGAGTTCAGACATGCTGCAAGAGGACACTTCAGCACCAAAGGCATTAAATAATCGCCATGCTATGACACCAACTGATTGAAAAGAGGATCGTACTATTATACCCCAACACAGTAGTTCTAACGGTTGAAAGCTCACTACGAGCATTTGCTCTGAATTCAATCAGCGACCTATCTGAGGGTGTGTGCTTATGATTAGTCTTATCGTAGGAAAAAGTAGCTACCCAGTTCTCCTTAATCTTCAGCGATACTAAAACTAATATCAGTCTGAGGTAAATGCTATCTATAATTTCAATTATTTTTAATCAGTCAATTATTAAAATATTCACTGATCAAATCAGGTTTATATTCATATTTATTCATGTTGCTTTTTCATATGTAAAAAATGAATGTGAACATTTTCTTTGTCGAAACATCATGACGAATTAATTAATGATGTTTTAAATAGTTCGGAATATGTATTTTCTCTATGTTTTCATTAAAAGAGGCTTTGTAAACAGAAAACTGGAAATTCTATCACTGCTTTATTGTTTTTGACATGAGTTCCAAGGATTCGCTATATGTGAATTGAATCTAATTTTTGTTTTTATGATGCACTAAATGGTCCTATGATATCTTACAGTCCTAGTTAGTGATTCTGTTAGTTTAGATATCAATAAGCTTCTAAAGTCAACCACTGTTTGTACCAACTTTATTATTTTCGTAGACTGTTCAACCTAAAGTAACTTTTATTCTGCAAGGGAAGAATTAAATGTACCATAATGAAGCTCGTTACTATTATATAGACTTGCAAAGTGTACGAATTCAGCCTTTCATCTGTCAGAATTAATCAAACCTTAAATGATTAGAATGCTTCAAATATGGTTTTACATTTGATAACATAAACAGATTCTATATATTGTTAGTTATGATAACATTTAGTATCAGCGTGAAAATTTCTCTACAACATACACTTCCATTTTACAAATATTCTATTATTATAAAAGAAAAATTGTTTTTTATATGATTACCAAGAAATCTTGAATGATTTAATGGACTCTTTTGCAAAACTTCAAAATTAGATAAATCTTTGATAATTTATAGGGAACGATATATCTTGGTGGGAAAGTCTGATAGTCTTTCTATATATATATATATATATTTCTGACCTTATACCACAGTTTGAAGACAGTTCAAACATATTTTCATTTCTGTTTCATAAAATTTATTATTAATTATGGCACCAAGCGTATTTAAATTGATTTGTTACTGTTATCAACTGTTAAGTGATGGTAGGACGGGATAAAACCCGAGATCTTGCTTTAATTTTAAGTGACGTTTCCTCAGTATGAGATTCATTTGTACTAATTTTGTGTGATATCAGATTAATGTGATATATGAAATTTATTTTTATTAATTCGATTTGCATAAAATTCAATTGTATGGTTACATCTTAAAATGTGATTGTATTTTCTTCATTTCAGTGATGTATGATATTCATTAACTGATTGTCAAAAGCTTGTAAAATTTGTTTATAAATGAATGTATATTGTTTGTAAGTTATCGTCTAGTATACATCAACTAAATAAAATCTGGATCTGTCATTAGATTTCTCGCTTTGCATACAAATCATTTTCTCTCTTTGTCCCATGTTCACTTTTAGAAACCATCAAAATAAGTATAACACCTTAAATATTATGTTGGCTACTTCAATTAAAAGTTTACTGGATTCGAGTCTCTGTTGTGAACATGGAACATGGAATTCAAGTGAATCTAGTGGACAAAATACACTTCTTAGATTCTACGGTTAAATAATTAAACATTTCTCATAATGCATACCTCTTTTAAATTATCCTCAATTTTTCTCTACTTCTTTGTATATATATTAGGAACAGATAAATGAATGCATCAATGAACAATCATGTACGAATGGAATATGTTTAGATTTGATTGGAACATATTATTGTTTATGCCCCACTGGCAGATATGGAATGAACTGTGAATTCACTGGTAAACAAATTTGTACTAATCAATCGTGTGGTGAAGATGTAAACGTTAGAAATTGTACAACACATGTAAGTTGTTTATGCACAAAATATATACAAAACTGATAATATATATAAGCTATCCTTCATACTTAAAATGACAGAATTAACTGCCTTTGATAAGTGCATAGTATCTAATTGAATTATTTTTGAGATTAACAGTAGTTAATCATAGAATTGACTGAATAATATAAACATATTTTTCACTAAATCATAATTTTTCATTGTGTCTAGAATGAATAATCTAAAGATGACTTTCACCATTGATCTAACACCAGTTTCATGAGATAAATGAAAATTTGAACTAACAAGGACGTGATTACACTCTGTAAATCATCCAGTTAATTTGACTCAATTCGATTGACTCATCCACAGGTAGGATGTGAAAGTCAGTGCATTGAAATGCAATTCATAGTGCATCTACATGTATGGTAGTTCTAGTCTGACCAAAGACATTAAATGTAAACAAATGTTTGACTAACATAAATAAAAATTAACTAACCTGAGCCAGTTGCCTCACTAGATTTCAACTACAGAGTAAAATCCGCCGGAGAACCTCAGCAAAAAATGAGAAAGTAATGAAAAGTTATTACATCATAATTTACAACACCTCAGTAGTGTATAGCCACGATTCCTCATTGAACGGAATTCAGGGTTATCAGATCTTAAGAAAAGCATGACTCCACATAGCCAGTGTATCAGAATTAAATAATGGGTACGGTCTGGCTTCAGTCAATTCACGATAGACCCTAACTATCAATCAGCTCTGTATCAACTTTCAATTGAATCGATCATATTCTTTGTAAATATGCAGGACTACATCAGGAGTCAAAACTAAGACCTTTAGGTCTCATTATGAGATGTTTCATACTTGAATGAAACGGCTATTTGATACTTTCTGGTTAACGGTGGTTTTCTAAAGTCAGACCTTGATGTGGAACTTCAATTATCAACAGCGTCAGATTCAGTGTGTAGTTTTAACAATATATATCTAATTTCTTGAATTAATTGCCTTTTAGTAATATTTTATTCAACTGTATTGAACAGGATTACTATATTTAGTAAAAAATAATATAAACTACTCAACATGAATAATGATCACAGTATATTTTATTCTATCTTCCATTGTTTCAATAAACGACACACTGACTTCTTATATTAACGAAAAATATCAGAGACCGTTAGAAACTTGTGAACATATTTCGGAGGAAACGATGTGGATGATTTTACGCGTGGGTGAATGTTTTGAGTAGTGTTGTATATATATATCATAAACTAAGCAGTGTCGATGATTTTCATTTATTAAATTTAATGAAGAGTATATCTGAATGAAATTCACCACAGTTGGATTAGTTGTCTTTAGGGTTATACTTTCATGTAATAGCTGAGTGAAAAATTTTCCATTTTTCTAATTACACTTGTTGATGATGTAAGTTTTGTGTGTTATTAATTAACATTAATTTTTAAACAGTTGACTTTATACTTTGAAACGAAGATATGACAGTGGTAGAAAATCTTTTTTAATATATTCATTCATTTATAGCTTTGTTTAAATAGCGGCACATGTATAAGTCATAATGCTGCAGACAGTAATATCACTGACGATGAAAACCATAACAACACCCATATTCCTCAGGGGAACAACTTGTTGGAATCACAAGTGCTTTATTGTTCTTGTCCATTCGGTTATATCGGTGAATATTGTCAGATAGAATTGGATTTTTGTCAGCTTTTCCATTATATTAAACACTATCTTCTGGATTATTTTATACAACCTAAAGAAATCGAAGATTATTTCCTTAAAAATTTAACCATTTCAAGTTATCTTATCAATGATTGGTTAATTTCATCAACCTTGTTATCATCATCATCATCACTCTCATCTTATTCATGGGATGAAATCAACTTATTATATTCTATATTCATAATAAATTATACAAATTCTCAACTGCTGAATAACACTGATACAAGAAAGATTTTATCAACAGGAAACATATTTAAACATAATTCTACTGTAGACAGAAAAAATATTTCATCTAATTCAACTTTATTTATGATAAGTTCACCAATGGGTTTATGTGATTCTGTTGGAAGTTCTCAATGTATTCCATTGTTATTTTCTACAAGTGATAATCGGAGAAGTATTAGTAATGGATTTGAATGTATTTGTCGTGTAGATTATGAAGGCAGATATTGTGAGAAATATGTTGATTTTTGTAATAAAATGGACAAACAATATAATGGAGTAAGAAAATCATTTTTAGAATAAAAAATGTGTTTACATGGATAGTATTTTTAAACAGTGTGAATTTTATATTAAAGTGAGATAGATTTAACTCTATAAATTAATATGTAGGAGAGTGAGCTTTTTCTGTTGTTAAACTTATATGCTCCACCTGTTCATTCTCTTTTGAGATATAAGTTTCCTGAACAGACTGTTTCTACATAGAATTGTAGTTACATATTTTATTATATTTGGGCACACTAAAATTTGTATACTACAAAACTGTACCAGAACAATCTGCTCATGATAAACACATTTTAATGGAAAGTGATTAATAGTTAAAAATAACAATAGATAAGCTCTGTCAATTTCTTATCAATGAATCATGATATTTGTTTCCGTCATTTTGTAATGTAATCGTTTGTAGTATAGACGATAGAAATACTTAACCTCTGATAATTTTTATAACACACTGGTTATCATTAGAGATTTTGAGTTGAGTTTATCTAAATGTAAGATAATTAACAAATGTGATGTAATTAAATGGTTATAGATTTTTGAAGTTAATCAGAATATTTTACAAAGTTAGATTAAAATGAGAAGGCTCTGGTGAATACTGATAATTAGATTTATTTAAAGGATTTTTAATTGGATCCGACATAAATTCAAGTAAATAATTAAATCTATAACTTTTTAATTATCATAGATGAGTATGTATTATCAGTAATTGTATGACTTCAATGTTCTCATGATTTAGATTGTCTTTTTTATTTATTCATCTTTGAAAAATATCAAACTAGGTCATCGAAATTCACATAGTTGATATGTGATATCTCTGAATGTGATACTAGATAATTTGAGTTGGAATTCCACTGTGGGCATCGATCCCTTAAATTTAACTGATGCTCTACGCTAATAAGTACCAACTAGCATGATGCCAGTGTTCAGGGACATTTATCGACTGTTTCCAACCATCTAGTGTTTACATTTTACTTTTTCTGATATCAAGTATTCTTAATCTATGATGAACTTGTAAATCCTGTCGATATTGAAGTTACCTATTTCATAAACAATATCATATTATCGATAAAGACTGATTACGTACACCTTTAGTGTGTAACAAAACTTTTATTGAATTAAACCCTTACAAACTATAAAGTAAACATATATACTATACTGTTTTGTTGAAAGGTTAATTTAACCAATGTTGATAGATGTTTATTTCTTCATTATTTTTTCTCGTTCAAAAATGTAGAATTATTGTTTAAATGGTGGTTGGTGTGAAAATCAAATTAAACAAATCTCATCAAATTATAATTATAATAATGACAATAATAACACAGATATTCATCGAATATTCCCATATTGTCATTGTCCATCCGGATATGGAGGGAAAAGATGTGAATTCTATCATGAATCATGCATACATTCACCATGTCTTCATGGTGGTAAATGTTATCCGATTAAACAAAACTTATCACAACTACAACTAGAAGAGATCGAATTAAATTCCATGATTTCTAGAAATAATTCTACATCATCTTTCTTTTATTCATCGTATAAATGTGAATGCTCATTTGGTTGGTCTGGAGTACATTGTGAAGTTAGTACTGGATTATATTGTGATGCTTCGAAATTATGTATGGATCATATAAATTGTAATGACTCATTGACTAGTGATTGCCCATGTACAAAACCAGGTACATTATTGATGAAATAAATATTAATTAAGTTACAATAATGTTATAATCTAACGAGTTCAGTTACAGATTATAAATTTTTATTTATGTAGTTTTTTTCGAAGTTAAGTGTTCATCAAACAATGGTAAATCATCAAATTTACTGAGTTATTTATGCTTCGAACATAGTTGTGCATGTTGGCAGTAGGAACGCATATGAAATCGAGTTTAAAAAATGATTTACTACTACCAGTTATGTCTCTTTAAATGCATGAACTGGAATCGAACATTTCAAGTTTAATTAACAACAATTACTCAATTACAGTTACTCAAACAATTACAATTACTCAAACTTTAGATTCAGTCAATCTGGAAAGCGAAACTAGGACCCGACAAAATGAAGATTTTAAACCCTTGCAAAAATGCGTGGTTTAGTTTTGTACTTCGCTCGAAAACCAGAGGGTGTTTTCTCAATTCTGATAGGCTTATCCCCAAATTACAGGGATACCGAAATATTGAAGAAAACTAAAACAGCTCATGATATTAAGAAAACCTTTTCATCATTTTCTCTCTAGTTTTGTCACTCTGTCAGTAACATAACAATGATCTGTTTATCCTGGTTTTATTGAGAAGCTGTAAATCAACATCAAGAACATTGTTTTTTTCTTATTAGATCTATCGTTTGTAGATTTATATTACTACTAATTTTGAACCTATGAAAAGCTTTTGTGAGTCTGGAGTATTATTACACAAAAATATCTTCAGAAGCTAATAAAACTGTATAATCACAGTTCAAACTTTTTGAAACGGAACCTTCTTAAAATTTAGAAAAAACAATCGATTGTTTCATATTCAAATTGAAAAACTACGTATTTGGTTAATAGATCTAGAAAATCAAGGCCGCACATAAACTTATTGATATATTTGGTATCTATGTCTAATCTAACGTTACGATTAAAACGTTCTCTCGTTCTTCACATCTTTCGTCTTCTTCTCGAGTATTCAGGTTTGAGATACTTGTAGGGAACTAGCGAGAATTACCAAACGCGTTACACACACTGGTGTACGTAGGTTATTAAGAATGAATAACTGTGTCCAGTTGTTGAGCTTAAACCGCTACTTCTCCTGTCACTGTTGACAAAAATTGAAACTTTTGTATTATTGACTGGCTTCACCACTAAGTATAGTTTCCTTCTATTAGCCTGATCGATTCTAAGTTAGTCTAAGCAAACGATCGTATATCTTTTTTCAGTAGAATTTACAGACTGATATATAACTCTTGATAATCACAAATTATTTTATCTAAATCGGATACTCGTCAATTTGTAATTACTTTTTCTGTTTTATTTACAGGTTATTGCGGTTTAGACTGTGACAGATTCGGTACTGAATGCTTCTTGTTAACAAACAAAAGTAATGGTGAAATTGATAGAATCTCAACTACCGTGCCCATTACTACTACTATTGCAACTACTACTAATATTATCACTACTACCATCATTAGTACCAATAAAGTTACCTGGAATAATGTCGAAGTACATACAACAATCAAAAATATCACATTATGGCCTGGTGAAGAAACTGAATTGTCGTATTGTCTCCGTGAAAATTGCCAGTTAAAAAAACATAATGGTCAATGTGATCATGAATGTGATTTAATTGCTTGCGATTTTGACCATGGTGATTGTCTATACGCATTATCTGTACCGTTGAATCCTTTATCGTATATTGAACACCTTGAAAATGAAGGTGACAATAACAATGATAACACAACTCATTATGTTAGTTTTTTACAAGATATCCAAATTAAACAACAACGTCCAGAGCCAGCAATACCATGGCGTAGTTGCTCAGTGTTAATTGAACATGTTCAACATTCACCATGTCATTTATTATTTGGTGATGGAAATTGCGATCCTCAATGTTTTAAAGAAGAATGCTTATTTGATGGTTGGGATTGTATACAAACAAATGTTGATCTTAATTTGACAAAAGTAGGTTCATTTTTTATTGGAATTATTATCATTATAACTATTAATTATAGGATCATATAAGTGTTTGTCTAATTAACCATAAATCTATTATAAACAGAGTATTCTGGATGACATAATTTGAAGACTGTAGTTTAACGCTACCATTAGTAATAAGGAAGCGGTAAACAGTTATTCTATCTTACTATGGAACTCCACATCCATGCAAACCTAAGGCTTCATCGGGAATCTAATACAAGATTTTCAAGCTTAGCTGTAAGCACTTAATTTCAAACTCCCGATTTGAGATACCTGGGTTTACATTCCAAATTTTAGTCAGTTCACGACTTTCTGAAACCCTAATTCATTGCATTCGTGATATTCACCCCACGCCCAATATAGTTGAACCACATTGGTCGTGACTACTCACCAGAAGTCACGGAGGTATCTCTCGAACTTAGCCACAAATAAGTACATGATCAGAAAGAAACTTGATTGTCTGAAACACTAAACAAGATAATTTTCCGTGTTTTAAATCGAAACTATGAAAAATATTCATGTTTCCCTCAAAATTATTATTAACGTATAAGTGTGAAGAAGAAGAACATTTATCAACAATCAGTGCATTGACGCAACCACTGTCTATGTACTAAATAGTCGACTGATAGGTTACCATTGTTCTTCAGTCTGTTCGCTCCAAGATAACAAGTCCAATATCTTATGTTATTCTGCACTCAGATTATCGACAATTCCCTCTAGAAATTAGTCAGTAGTGAGCACATGATAATTCTCAGAATGAGGGATTTGGATATTGTTGAGTTTCATTTAAATCATGAATCGACTAGTATTAGACCACTATTGAATGAATGGGCACTATTAAGAAGTCCCATACTAGGATGAAATAGAGCTCCAATGCTTCCAGGTTTCAAAGGCGGTCCAACGCTGACCGGTTTTTGATTTCAATGAAACTCAACAATCTCCACATTCCCCATACTGAAAATTATCATGTGCTCACTAATGACTAACTTCGACAGGGAAATCGTCTATATTCTGACTATATTGTTTAAACATTCATATGTTTCATGTCGAATTTGTGTGAGGTAAATTTTAAAACATAGTAATCGGTTAGGAATTGTACTACAACTCAAATTAACTAAAATTTAACTTTAAATAAACTGTTTAAAATATAAATAGAAAAACTTATACTTTCCAAAAAGTAACTTTCATAAGGTTAAATATTTAACCATTTATTAAGTAACTTCGTCCACCTTTTCTTCTTCATCGTCAATAGTCGGTAACTTTGACGTCATTATATGAGTTTGTTTGTTTGTTTTTTTCAACATCATGATAAATGAGGGAAAAATTTTTCGATCATATATATGTTTTTGATGTGCGTTAAATGAGATAAAAAAAACCACTACATTATACAGGTAGATGTTCGTGTTATGCTGTGGCTTATAACTAGATATACACACATGCCCACTCATATGCACATATGCACATACACAGAAACGAAGAAAATATCTGTAACCATCATCATTAGGAAGAAAAAAGCATGGTGATAGCAGAGGTTAGGAAGAAAAGCCAAAAAGAACAAAAATCCAATTTTTTAATGAACATTTTACGTGTAGGTATGGTTTTGTGTATTTGCTTGAATGAGTGCTCTCTTGCTCACATATTTATGACATCATCATGGTAAATATCATATCATGATACTCAAATACTGCTTGTTCACACAGAATTTATAGAGAATTATCATCAGAATCGACAACATTAGATGATGTTTATCAAGGTTGTTTACTTTCGCAATTTTGATTCAACTTTGTCATAGACATTCTCTGGTGGTTTAAACTTTTAAGAGTTATTTCTCTATCGGGAAATACATTTCCGGACTTAGAATACCGAGATAATATAATCCTATTTAGTGAAGGTGCTGAAGCAATGCATAGTCTTCTGTCAATATTAAGAAACAATCGTAGCATTTTTGAGATTCTGTTTTCTTTCTGTAAATAAGAGACATTGCTTCACAACTAGTTTACGTTAACTCCTGAAATAATGAGTGGGATTGAAATAGTTAAGCGTGTTGATTACCTCATTTGTCCTCGAAATCCGACCAGCCATGTTAAGCTGTTGTCTTGTAAATTCTCGGCATGAATTTACGAAAGCTCGGTTAACTTTTTGTCAACTCATACTGCTTGTGGTGTAGGCGGGATATCCGTCAGCTAAATAAAGTACAACTATACTGAGCAGTGATCTGCTCTATTATTATACGGATGTAAAACATGGTCTTTGAACTCAAAAATAAAGGTAAGCCAAAGGATTTCGACTAAAGATGGTTTCTTAACATTACTCGGTTGTTTTGTCTTATCCCTTATCGAGGCAATTTGTTCTGGATACATACATACATAACAACAGACATTTTTTAACATCGGGAAATTACCAATTCTTATTAGTACATTTTTATACGATTAGACGTAATCATTGAAAGAACTATAAAAGAAATATTGGAGCTAGAATGAAAAATACTATTTAATTGTCACATAATACTCTAATTTCATATGTAATCCTAATGAACAGAAATGTGTTATGATTATCTTGTGAATTCATCATAGAAAGCTTTTAGCGAATAAAGATATCCAACTCAGTAAATCTCATATTTCTGAGTTAGTCATTTTTTCAGGATATGATTGAGACCGATTTGGTGTGAGGACGGATGTCACTTCCCGGCTGCCCTCACCGTGGAATGGTATTTCTTGAGGAACCTGAAAAAGAAGTTGGATTAGTGTTGGTCTTGGACACCCGAATTGTACTTCCTGAATAATATTTTCGAATCCTAATATTCTCCATTACCGCTTAAACTTCTACTATCTCTACCACTATAGGATTTCAGCTGACAATCACATCTCTGTGCTAATGTGGTATGACACCCTGAACTTATGTACGTAAGTACGAATTTCTACGTTGTAACTGACTGATTGACTGATTGAGTCATTTAGTCAAATAAATTGTAAGCTGGCTATAATTTGTACAATATAGATGAATTAGCAATAGAAATTTATTATTAGATAGATAATACTTATGATAGGTAAGATTTCAATTTACTGAACTACACATTTAACTTGTAACAGTTAAAATTATCCATTAAATAAACATATTCCAAAATGCTATAATGATAGGAACAACCAAGAAGCATTATTAGCAAGAATTGATTTCATCTTAATATATGACTGACTGTTCGATGATTGCCCATGTTTTGACATGAATTTATTATGAAAGTTAAACGAACAAAAAGTTTCACAAACCAATTAAAACTAAAACTAATGATGACGTGAAGTTTAAAATAATATATATATATATATCGACAAGGAATAGTAGTTCATGTAGTGATTTCATTTTATTTTGAAATAATTTAATTAAACAAATTAATTAAATATTTGAATTAAAATTCCACTAAAAAAGCGCAAGTTTCTTATCGTTTAAGTTGTATCCAATACATAAGAAAATGATTAGTTTCCCAGAAACGTTTTTTAAGGATTCTCACCAACAGAATATTAATCAAACTCGTGTAAATTAGTATTTCTATTTATTATTGCTTAGAAAATATTTTTTAAGTTAAATTCTTACTTATTTAAAGAAAAAGTTGTAATTGAAATTTTGCTTATTTAGTCTAAAAATGGGTTATGTAGTTGATTAGCAATAGTAGGTGGTTACTTTTTAATGAGCAATGGTATTTTTCATCAGCCCTCAAATACCCTGGTACGACCATGAGTGAGAAAAATCCTCTTTGCCTCCACAAATACTCTCAGATGGCTGTTCCAGGTAAGTTCTAATCACTGCCTTCTCGTGGCAGAAGTGTTGTTAACGAAGTTCAGGGAACGAAGAGCAAATGCCTGTAATTGTCGGTACTAAGGATCCAGCTAGTGGGGTTGGATAACCCTGATTCAAAACTACTGGTGCACACGGACTCCAGGATGCCTGGAGAACATATGAAGTATGGACTTATTATTAGTCACTGGCTTCCATAGGATTTCATCTCTCAACGTTTCTCTACTGCCTTATGGACTAGACTTTTAGATCTAAAGAGCGGGAAGTATCCCCTAGGTAAACAGCCTGCCTCATTTTAGGCATTCGGACAGAATCTCAACCCAAACAAAAATTCATTGGTTTGTCTGGCACATAATTATTTAGGTGTCTCTTTGTACTAAAATTATGTGTTTAAATAAAATAAAACCAATAATATATATATAGTAGGGATTGTTCATTTGGAATCGTGAAAATTAGTTTCGAGTTTTTATGAGAAATTTTCATAATCGGACGCATCGATTGCCCAGTTTTTTTTGTAATACAGGTTTCAAAGCACAAATGAGTCAATAAGATTTTGTTTGAGTTTAATTTTTTTATAGTAACATCATAGAGACTTCATTTTAATGGTGGTTTATCGAATAACAGGGTTGCTGGTAGGCTCAAAATCGCAAAATAGGTCCAGAATCTCAAGCATGATTTACTCTTATTAATACAGTAACAAGCGTGGTTTACACTTAATTCTGTTATTCTTCAGTGAATCTATTTATAAAGGTTTTATCAACAATGATGAATTTCTTAAAAACTATCTATATCTATTATAAAATTTCGGGAAGGAATCTTTTTTCGTGAATAGATTCACATTTAAATTATTCAGGTCACTTAGCGATATTTCTGAAATATTAGAACCGAAATACTGGTAACAGACCTAGAAAAACTAATAAACTTTCCAAACCAACTTGACAATAACAAGTTTAATTACTTCTGTTATTAAATACGTTTGATGTATACTGAATCTCTGCTCATCGGCTAAAAACTGGATTTATAACCAAAAGATCATTTTCAGAATCGTTTTAACTCATCCCCATAAAATATCTTTGCCAAATATTCATTAAACTGTCAGGGTAATCACTGGTTTACTTTTCAACATTATGATCGTCTTCATTGATGGTTATTAGCGTATCCTTGTGAATATTTTGGGGGATTCAAACGACATCAGGATTTTTCTTGAATATTGTTCGCAAACTAGTTTTAAAAGAGATACATCAATACCCGTCTAAATAACTGAATAGTGATGTTTTTAATTGTTATAGGAATAAAAATTAGTCTATTTCTAATAGGGTTGTGAGTTCAAGTGATGGTTACAAGGAAGGAGTTTCAGATTTCTTCTTTTGATCAATTTAAAATAAACTTACGATTTTAGTGAGAATATTAGTTGTAGGGTTTTAAAGTTCTCTTTTATCTTCAATTATTTAGCTACTATTAATCCACTGGAATATTCATAAAAGCTTGATCTGCATTAGCGGTTGATCGAATTTCAATAGAAGTATAAAAATCATCATTGATTTTTACCAGCTTTTTCTGTTAATGTCACAGGCAAGATAGCTTCTATTTGACTAGTGTTCTATTAAAAGTAGATGCTTTAAGAGCATTTGTCGGATAAAATAGCGCCACCAAACTGAGTTAGGTTTGAATTAGAGAAAGTAAATTAGTCAGCGGAATTTTTATTTTCAATCAGATGTCATGCACTTACTGCAGGATTTAATGTTGTCTATCATAAGCTTCTATTGGTAAAAAGCTTTCTCAGATTAAGACATGATATCAGTTTACGGAATTCTTGACTGTGAAAGAAGATTTTCTATTTAAGGTGGTTTGTATATAAATATCGCATGCTTTTCATTTACTGATTTTCTTCTAATATTTCCAAATTACATCACCTAATTATTTTCACTCATAATTTTTATATAAACAATCTGGGACGACGCAAATTTATGTTAGTCCTCATGTTATTGATTACCAATTAATCGACTAAGTGGTTTGCTATTTTCATTCTTCTTTTTTTCTTTATTTTTAAAATATACGCAGGAAAACTGCTCTGAATCATCATGTCAAAATGATTATCATACTAAAACAATGGAATGTAGCCATAATGATAGGGATAATTGTACATTGAACAATGATCTCAAAAAGAATATCATGTCTTCAACAGATTCAGCCATCATTTATAATATTGATAACAGTAATAATTTTACCAATAATATATCATCTGGCACTAGATATTTCACTAATCATATTGTACCGGGTAGCTTAGTTCTATTAATTAATTCTACTCCAGAAGAATTGGTAAAAATGCATTCTGAAAAGCTGTCAATATTTTCCATATTAAATGAAATTCTACATTTAGAAGTGGAAGTTGAGCATCATCCAAAGACTGGTGACCTAATGATCTATCCGGTAATATATGTGACTAATTATACAAACAACAGTAATAGAAATTCATTATTTGGAACAATACAGTTAAAAAATAATGATCTATTGACATTTGAACAATCGGATACAAAGTCAACTGAAATTCGTTCAAGGTATTCACGTCATGTGAATATGAAAGCATCACTATCATCATCGTTATCGGGTCAACCATTACAATCTGATCGAAATGAACAAAAAATGGAAATTTATCAAAAAGAAAGCGTAGGAAGTCAAGTGTATTTACAATTGAATTCAAAAAAATGCGATGAAACAGGTAAGTGAGCGAAAAAATTTTATTTTGTAGATAATCGACTTCTCAAAAATCATCTTAACTATTTCATATGTTTTTACTTGGCTTTTGGTAAATTCGAGTTTTTGTCTTAACATTCCAAAAAATCTCGTGCCAGGCATTCTGTATACTTTTAGCCCACTTACAGATGCTTTCTTCATATTGGTTTTTGACCCTTTAACATGTTAAATTTCACCCCACTATCAAGGATAGTGTCAGTTCTGTTGTGGCTCTCTTAAAACTAACGTTCTTTGATCGCTTCTAATAAATTTTTAGAGTGCTACTTGTATTTCAGGTGAAGACAATAAGTCAATACATTCATTGTGATCAGAAATCAAAGTTAGAGATTTCATACTATAAGTAGATGGGCAAACTGCATTATTTTGAGTATTTGTTCGCTTTTCCTATGTATGCTTAAAAATGCAGAAGTGCAGTCATATATAAACGTTTTCAAAAGAAAAAAAGTGCAAAAAGTTGGAGGCCATTTCTATTTGAAACTCCTGAACTCAGGTAGGGTTATACTATAAAAAACCCAAGTGCATTGAACAAATGTTATATTTTTGCGATTCCTCATTATCATTGGACACTCAAAACTATTATCACTTTTTGAAACACAAGATATCTAGTTCACAGAATTAAACATGATAAAATATTAAAGTCATTAAGTCAGAAAACTAGTATTTTTTACATTTCCAACTTCAGTCAACAGTCGTATCACCATTCGAATGATATCAATAAATGACGTATTCTTTTTCAGCTTATTTTTAACATCTTAAAACTTCTTATTATTCAAAGGTTATTCAGACAATATTTAATTGACAATGAAAATCCATTCAAAAATAAGGAAGTTTTCCATGACGTCAGTGTTTAACTTAAAAATTTATTTATTTACAATTGTTTCAAGTCATATGCATTTAAATTGTGCCACCATTTCATCACATAACATTTGTCAACACTATTTTTAAGTCAGAAATTACAATGAACACGTTCAAATAACTACAGTTATTTAATCTTTAATTGTTAGATAATCTGTAATATTCATCAGTTTAATGATTGTACATTTGAAAGAATATATGATATTTTAGTAAAGTTAAATAGTAGCTAGTAGTGAAATGTAAGACACACAGTGTTTCCTTATGTTTGAGATTCATAAGCTGGATACACGTCTGCATAGCAATTTCGATGCTGACTTTGAGATTTGAATCAAATATCTTTTGCTTCAAATAACCAACAAGCTGTTTATTGAGGTAATGAGTTCAAAAAATCACTGACCTGTTTAAAAGTATAAATTCTGTCTTTAAAAGTTTGATTAACTGTTGTTTTTAAAGTCAACAGCAGAGAAATACAAGCCATTACCGATGATATATAATATTCATGATTATTTAAAAAAAGGTTTGTATTTCCAAATAAATGAGAAATAAAACAGTTGTTTTTTATTGACATTTTATCATTTTATGTTAAGAGTTTTATCAAAATTACATAAATGCATGATATTGTTTAGAAGAAAACAGAGTTACCTTTTTTTGCAAGAATAGACTTTATCATAGATAACAACAGGTTTCGAACAGCGCTAATATATTCTGATGTAAACCATTTTGAAGTAATTTCAGTTATTAGGGCACAGTTTTGGAGGCTTTGCGTTTTTACACATTTGAAATCATTAATCAATCATCATTGTTAGACCACCATTAGAAACCTGGAAGCACTGGACGGCCGTTTCGTCCTAGTATGGGATTCCTCAGCAGTGCGCATCCACGACTCCTGCTCCTCGCAGGATTCGAACCCGGGACCTTTGGCATTTTAGGCGAACGCCTTACCATCAGACCACTGGGCCGGCATCCAACGGTGTTAATGTCTAACTCTGATTGATCTAGGGATTTTGCGCGACCTCACCCAATTGTCTTTGGTAGTTACTGCCTACACCCGACAGGGTTGAACTCCACTGGTCACGTCTTCTCATCTAGAACTCCGAGAATTTCATCACGAAACTAGTCACTAGTGAGCACTGTTACGATATATTGGGGCACAGTTTTGGAGGTTTTGCGTTTTTACACATTTGAAATCATTAATCAACCAGTGCTTCCAGGTTTCTAATGGTGGTCTAACAATGATGATTGATTAATGATTTCAAATGTGTAATTTCAGTTAATATATGAATTTATGTTTAATGGAATATAAGATTAAGAGAACTTAATCAAATCATAAGCATTATAGAGCATGGTGCATTTCTGTATTGTTTCAAGTTACCACACAATAAAGTAAAATTATCAAAACACAGGATTAGAATGGTAGTAGTAGTAGTAGTTACGGTATCAGAATCAGTAAATACAATATAGAAGATTAAGGTTAAATAAGAGAAAGAAAATGTATACTGCGAACAGGAATTAGTAGTTGTAGGCTTCCAAAATTACTGTTCATTTGTATCTTTATTTATCAAGTGATTTTTCATCAGCCAGTTAATCACCATCAACATTCATGTTTATCAGTTCATGTTGTACATCTCATAGTAGTACCATTAAAAAGAGGGAGGAAAAAGCAGAAGAAATACTATCATTTGCGATAAGAGAAGCATAAGGGTACAAAATACAGTTAAAGAAAGATACAAATAGGATGAATGGATCAATCAGTGAAGTACAGAATCGCCATCAAGGTTTAAAGGAAGACGAAAGTGAATGCTATTACTGATTCGCAATTTACGCCATGTCCCTCATTATGTTTAACTAGAGACTGGAAATTGACTGGGTTTCAATCAGAAAGTTTGAACTTATCGATGTAATCAAGATTAAAAGTTAATGACTTCATGGGCCGGTAAATATGTCTTGGTTCATCAATACTTAGCTTTATCTAAACCTTATTCATTTGTAACTCGGCGTCAGACTGTAAACGTGACAGCTAGACATGAGTAACATATGTGTAACATATAAGTTCATCATTACTAATAATCAATCATCAGAATCATCAGTTTCGAAGAATTATCAATTTTCACTGATTAGTTTATATTAGAAATGACTGTTTTCATGATTATCTGCTAAGAAAGTATACAATCATCTGTGTATTTATTCATTATTGAATCTTTTATTGCTAATCAGTTGTTGTGTATTCTCTTCACTTGTAATACCATTGTGTCTACTGATCATTGTATCTAATAACCAAACTAATCAACTTTTCTAATGTTGTATATTTATTATTTAGAATGCATTCAACAACAGCAACAAAAAAATAAAAACAAATTGCACCAACTAACCTTTTCGTTCATTTTCTATTCTTCTCTCTCTCTCTCTCTCTTCTACTGTTTACGTTCTTTCAAAAAAAAAGAACTTTTCTCTCTTTGTCCCACTTTTTTCACATTCCTAATGTTGCTTTCTTCCTTCGTCAATAATTCTGTTATTACTTTCATTGATAATATTACTACTACTATTACTATTCTGTGTGTGCTTCTTAAAAAGAAATAATCAAATAGCATTTGTCTTGTCATTTTCTGAAATCATTTATCATTTTAGTTAGTTTATGTAGGGTAAAAAAAAAAGTTAGGAAAGAATACAAGACGACTACACAGCGAAAACAATAATAGTCACATTATCATTACTATTATTATGATTATTATTATTAATATTAATATTATTAGCCTTTAATAATACTATGAGTCAAAAGATTTTTCCAAGAATACAAACAAAAAGATTACAAGTAACTGAAAAAAGGGAAAAGAGCAACAAAAGCACTGACAACAGTGTAAGCGCACAAACATATCCGCTCATCCGCAAACACACAAACATGTACATCTTTATATATATATATATATCTTGGAAAGTAAAACGATGGACCTTTTTATGGATTTTCACCTTTTTCGTTACTGAAGTTCAATCAATATAGACTACAAGTTTCTTCTGTTGTTTATAAATGTATGTGTGTGTGCAAACGTTTGTTCGCGGGTGTGTGCGTGAAGGAGAAGTGGTTTGCCTGTCACATGAATGTATACCAATATGTGTGAGGCATATTACTTAAGAAATACTATTATTATTTTTACTGATATTATTATACTTGGTGTAGCTATAAGTAGTAACGGTGAGAAAGCCAATATTCAAGGCCAGTTTTATGAAACCCTTAGATTATTTTCCTTCTTTCAGTCTTTTTCCACATTTCTCTCTCGTGTATATGATTCTAGGTGTAGAGAAAGTTGAATATTTGATTAGAATAAAGGCGATCAATCATTCAATCTTATCAAACCAACTGAACATTGATCAAGGCACACATATTTGTCTCTCTCTCTCTCTTCCTATCTATAAATATTATATATCATAAGTTACAATAAATTTTATACAACGATGTAAATTAATTACATTTGATCAGCACATGTTTATATATCCTATTATTATCAGTGTTATATTTTTGAGTTTACTAAATAATATGTTATCATTTTAGTACATGATTCCCAATTATTATATTGTATTGTACATCATTATCATTCATCCATTTGTCTTAGTGTATGACTAAACTGTGCAGGCAATGAACTTGCTTTGTTTTACTTTATGAATTTCAAAAATCCAGAATATGTGTCGGTTACTAGGCCTTTATTGATTGATGCTTTCGAAATACGGTTCGCTTATATTAGGAAAATTAAACAAACAATCTATATTCATTCCTTCTCAAATAATAAGGTCTATACCTAATCTTTTCTAATATAGCCAATACTCATACCACTACTACTTTTAAAACTCTGACATTTCTCTTGATAACTTTATGCCTATCTGATGATACGTTGTGTTAACTGTACTCGGTCCCATGTTGTATATGGCTGATAGATTAACTGTACTTGTTCTGGAAGTGTTTTTGATAGGTATTTTACATTAGCAATATCAAGGATTATGAAGACTGAAAGTATGATCGAAGGTTAACTATGCCGTCAGTCTTCTGTTGTAATAAAAATTTAGGAAAAGTGTGCTTACTTATGGTTTACGATCGCCTGTTTACCATCCAGATGTTTACTGGTTC